TAAAGCGGAGATAAGCAACGCAATATGATATATGATGCTCTTATCTTGATATATTAATTTAATTTGAAAATGGAAAGGCTAAAGATTTAAACGACAATTTCTGTCAAGGCAGACTCTCGATACTTGATTTTTTCGAACTACTCATACGTTTCGTAACAGTTGCTTTTAAACCGGTTGATCCGTTGCAGCAGAGTATCTGCATAAATTCATCTTTCCTCCCCGTTCATTTTTCGCACGAAACCCATAACTGCTCGCGGAATATTTCGCTCATAGAAAGCGATCATTAAATGCTGAAAGAAATTGTACATAATTTCCTTCGAGAATCGCTTCGATATTTTTAATTGCCGCCGGCAAAGAGAGTCATTTCGCTCAACTGATACGAGATCAAAAAATTTTTAAGCTGCGTTTAATTGCTTCTTCTGCCTTCATTTAATCCCCAGTCAGCTGATTATACAATGTTGCTATGAAAATAAACTTGAATTAATCTCTCCGCGATATATCAGATATCTTATATTAAACTTATTACACAATCATTGCTACTTTATTAACTTATATGTATCATCGTATCATCGTAATGATATTTTTCCTGATTTCTTGGTTTAACAATAATACGTCAATGTATAGCAATGAAAGAAAATAGGAGGCTAAAACACTTATTCTGCGCTTACGAAATATTAACAGGACGGAACTAATCTTCAGCTTTTAATGCATTTTATGCGCATATTTCGGGTCAGTATACCAATTCGATAATTACCAAGACGTAGGTGTTCGCGCGTGACAATATAAATTGAGCGAATAACCTGACCGCAAAAAATATTCCGGCTTCATACTGGTATAACTTTAACGCTGTGATATACGACGATAATTTTCGAAAATATTTCTAATGTTAAAAATGTTTGCCAAAAAAAAAAAATAAAAAATATTGCGATTAGTCGTTCTAAGAAATAAAGCATTAAATTAGAAAGTAAATATTGAAATCAAAATTTATTGAGGAAATGATAGCTAAAAATCGATCACGTTAAATCGTGATGCTAAAGGTTATCGAAACCGTACTTTCGGATTTAATTGTCAATTAATCATGTTTTCGTGACAAGAGATTTCGCAATCCCGTACGAAGAACCGCGAAAGTGATACGGACGACCACAAAACTCGATTTCCGTCGAGAATGTATGCAAATATGTACGTTCGCTGGCGCTTAGCGGAAAAATGAATCCAACAGCGGCGCATAATCCCCGCATACATACATATGTATAAGTCTCCGGCGGCAAGTATGTACCTTCTTTAATTGGCGATGTGAATCGGTTCTCTGGCCTGATAATCATCTGGCCGCACGAGGAACATCTCGTGCGTGACACCGGCGAGTTGAACCGAAGCAACCGACCTAATCGCGAAAATTAATAGACGAAGAAACGCGATTTAACCGCTCGCGATGATCCAATTACATTGTCATGCGTGGCCCGCTTTCCAAGATGATTGTTTAATAATATACTCGCGAAGGATAATCACATTCGTATGTAATGTGTGCAAGCATCGAACGTCTTGCCTTGCGTTTTGCGTACGATGTAATTTAATTTAATCAAACGCGCGCTCTTATATAATTTTCTCGATGAATCCTGACAAGAAAATCTCGCTGATCGCGCGGGCGGTCTCGCGTTCTACGTTCGATTTTTCGCCAACATTATGTCAATTCATATGTCTGTGCCGCGAATTGATTATTCGGCTTCAAGGATTTGATTTAAACATCCTGAGACGCGTATTCCGTTACGCAGCAAGTAATGCACTTTAATCAGTGCATCATGATGCGCATGGAGAATTTCAGAATTGCATATTTTTTCGAATACGGTCAAGATACCAACATCTCCAATTATTTTATTAATATCGAGCCGTGAAAATCTAAGAGATATAAAAAAACGGGAATATAAGTTTCTATACATATATTCTTCTTAAAAAAATATCCGACTAATTCTTTAAATTCTTTCTTATATTAATAATTTTTATTTTTAAAGAATATATTATGTCTCACAAATACATCAAGGTATTATTAATATAAAATAAAGTATAGTCTTAAAACTATATATTTTAATATAAAATTACTTTTTATTAAACAAATATGTTATAAAATCAACTTGGAATGTACAATATGCTATCAAACTTGCTGAGTTTGTGCTGTGTGTGTGTGTGTTTAATTAGCTTGCTTAGTTTTACTTGTTTCATTTTTCTGTTAATACGGCTTTTACAAAATTATTTGGCGTTATTTTGCAATAATTTCTTTATCGCGAGAAAGAATTAATTAAAATAAAAAATTGATAAATTTAATACGAGAATAGAAAATAAACGACATACTTTTAGTTATAATTATAGGAAGAAGTGTATGTGTGTGTAATTAGTATTTTCAGCGATTTATCGGAATATATTACGCGACTTGTAACCTGTGGATTTTTATTCGGCATTGACCTGCAAGATGTAGAGAAAAAAGATAATGATAATATATGTAATTATACTAAATTGCATATACATGCATCTCTTTGCTTTCTCGAGTTAAGGACGTCAAGAAATATCGCAATGATTTCCGCATTCTGCGTAGATGCTCGCAAAACACAAGGTTTTCGAGGAACATTTTAATGCAAGAAACGCGGGAATGTTGCAAATGTGTTTCTTTGGAAATTAGGACATTATATTTATGACGCAAAGCGTCATGCTACATTGACAAAAATTGGAAAAAATTTACTGCGTAAAGGAAGAAAACACGCTCATAATAGATACCTATTTAAAGAAAAAAAAATATAAGAATCGCAAAAAGAGAATATAATAAATTCTATAATGATATTACGCAGAATTCATGTTTTTTTTTCTTTTTTCCAAAAAATATTTTTCTCTTTTTTAAGTCGGATTGTTATGATTTATCATATTCTGTTGTCTCAAGATTGTAGGAGTCTGTCGCGCTTTCTTCCTTCCTATGATGCCTATCGGAATCTTCTGCGACCATTTGTCTTCAGGCATTTTGAAAAAAACATTCAGACGACTAAAACTTTCTTTTCTCTATTCTCTCAATTATTGCTTTTTTCACACTTTTATTTTATTTAAAAATATTAATATAATAAATATAATACTTTATGGCAATCTATGGTATCTATCTTAGTCTGACTTTTTCCCCTCGACCTATCCGGCATAGATGACCCTACCGGTAACTACATTACCGCCAGCATAGCTCTTTAGGTTCATCAGAGTACTCAAATCTTCTCACCTAGCAAAAGCCTTCGTTAAAGTGGAGATACTTCCCATCGAGGAGATATATAAAATTTTTATTATAATTATTTTATTTAAATACACAGGTTATATCATTTTATAAAATATGATATAATTACAAAACGTAATATAATAAAAAATACGTAATAAACAATATAATATAATAAAGAATACAATTTATACAACAACAATATAGATTTTTATAAAATATAATAACACAAAAAATATAATGATAAAAATAACATTATAAAAAATAAAGATTATAGCTTTTATATAAAAATTTTTTGTCTCTAATTCTCTCCTGTTTAAATTATATAAATAAAAAATCAAATTACGCGATTAATTGTTTAATTCAAATTATACGTACACAATTAATAAATAATTAATATATAAATAACAAATTACTTACCATAGGGTTGCTTCACCGGTGCCCGATGCCTCTCCTAAGCCTCCTCCTCCTCTCAGGTTGATTCACACGCGCGATATTTTAAACGGCACTCCCGCACTTTTATTAAAGAATATTACTCCTGCATTTGTACACGCAATATTTTGAACGACACTCTCGCACTTTCGAATTTTGGCACGATTGAACCCCGTTTCATACGAGAATCACACTTCAAGTCGACAAGTCGGGAATTCACCGAGAAGCGGAAAAAGACGAAATCGATTGATGGGATCGATGCAAATGAGATTCGCTCAACTCTTATCCGTCTATGTCCACATCGAAGACCGACTCGAACTTTAATAGGAACGATTTCAAACAAACCATCAAATTTCTAACATCAGTCAGAAAGAGAATCAAATTCAAAGAGAATAAAAAGAACTCAGTTCTTAGATGCTAAAAATCTAAACAATTTAGGAAATGGGGTCAACTTCTTTTCTAGCGAGCGAAAATCGGACCTAATTAACCTAGTCAGATGTCCTTAATGCGATACACTAATGCTAATTGCTGGTAGACGGTACAAGAAAAGGGACCCATGAACGACGATTCCAAAACAATCGACCGAACTCTAACCGATTCGGGCCGAACTGTTCGTCGGAGCAGAGCGTGCCTCAACAACTGTTATTGAATCAAAACTCAATACAATAACAATAATAACAAATAACAAGGACACGTAGAAATGTAAACAATAGCGCGCTATGTTGTGTATAGTTCACACTCACAGTCGTCACGAAATATTTTATGTATTACAAGATAAATATCTGCGGAATAATTTGATTCTTAAGTATCGAATTAATCATTCTAGTAAACGATTAATTATTACTTTTCCTTAAACTGTATTTAGCCGATTATTGTGTCTATTACTTGTGTGTGTGTGTGTGTATGCGTGCTTTTAATCCGAAAATAACGAGCAATTATAAAGAGAATAAATTTAGAATAAATGTCTACGCGCACGCGAGGAATACCTTAGAAAAATATTTATCGTTTCAAAAGATTTACGAAACAACAATCGCAGAAAATAATGAATCGCACGAATTATTAAAGCATCACATAATTATAATCGAAAATGATTGCGTTGAATGCATATAATGGTCTGTTAAATACAGCAAAAAACGTGCGCCGAACAATGTTTGTCAACTGCGAAATATTTGATGTATTATATTTAAAAGATCTTTAAAAAAATATTAAATAAAATATATTTAAAATATAATAAATTTTTTTTCTTTTGTTCCTTCTGTTGCGACATGTTTAATCTTTTATTATCTTAGAATGTGCAAAAGATTCGTATACGTTCAGATGTACTATAAGGTATCAATTGAATCAATATTGTATCACTTTATTATTTGTCATGAAAAAGAAAAAAACATAGTACATAAAGAACATAATTCAATAAAACACTCAAAGCTTAAAATTAATTTGTCGATAAACGCAAACAATCTATAGGAATGTATTTTCGTAAGTAATTTAATCAAAACTAAAGTACATAATACACAGTGCCTTTTTTTGGGGTAGCTTTTACATTAAAAAAAAAATTGATCTTTATTTTTCTCTACCGTTTGGAAGGGTGAGATGGGGATATGAAGAAAATAAAGAAAAATGCAAAATTAATAACGAAACATAAAGACGAGATTATTGTACAGAAAAATGTCTAATAATTAATCATTCTTTAAAATAAAACCATGCTTGTTTACATAGAGTTTTCACAAGGAGATTTATATAGGAGAATCACAGATCACTAAACTATCTTTCTACTTTTCTCTCTCTATGAAAGAATATAACGATATAATCAATCGAGTCGATTTGGAAACTATTATTTATTGTCTGATCAACAGTTCGCGAGTTAAAATATATCTTAACATTTATATATAACAGTTATATCTTTATAAATGGTTTTTTATCTCATACTCTTAGCCAATAGAGAAGGCTAAATATACTGAAATCAATTACGCGTTGTCATTGAAATCGGATATTACTCCTCGATCATATAATCGTCAACTATCGAAATTATCGTCAATCGAAAACCTCGGAATCCGGGATAACTTAAAAAAAAAATTATTCGAACATTATTGTTATAATGATATACTTTGGATCAGGAAAATTTGATACAAGAAGATTGCAACATTAATGAGTATATATGCAACTATTTTCCTTGCATTTGTTTTATTCCTTAAAACCGCAACGATTGCAATCGTTTGACCAAAGTGTGCGTCGATGACGCGATTTTAGAATTCTTTTCTTCTTAATCTCTTATCTTAGACGGAATTTAAAATCTTGTTCCGTCCAACACACGCACGGAAGTGCAGTCGGCTGCATCCTTTAGCACGCGCAGTCACAGGCGCAACGACGCACGCGTTTCTCGCGACGATGAAGGAAGACTTCGTCTGGCACGGAGCGCACAGAACGTGGTTGCACATCTGTGAATAATTGGATATTCTTTTATTATTAATTTTGGAGTTTAGTTATTGTAATATGTACATCCGTTTATAATTCTCTCTCTCTCTCTTTAACACGTATTTTACACTTTCTAATCAAATTGTTCATAATAAATTTTCTCCAAAATAGATTTTTGCGATTATTAATGGATTAATAATAGTAATCAAAAATCCAAATCTAAATAAATTTTTACTTACAATGCGGGCGAGTTTCCTCCTCCTGCATTGGCTGTTGTTGTGGTTGTTGTTGTTGTTGCGGCTGCTGTTGTTGTTCCTGCTGCTGCTGCTGCTGAATCATCATATGTACCTCCTGGTGGGGCTCTTGTTGCCGTTGCTCGGATTGTTGGTCCGTAGACTGGCCATCGGATACTTCAGCACGTGCTTCTACCGGTACCTCCATGGATTCGACTGGTCTTAACGCAAATCTCGAAACCGGAAAAGCACGACCCTCTACGACCTATGATTCCAGAAATTGTTTTCTCTTAATTGCTTATTTTTGTCAAGTTCTTATTAAGAATGATTGTATAAAATTATCCAATGCTTCGGTAAAGAAACAAGAAAAAGATTCCAGTTTAGTTTTAAATATATAATAGTCAAATAATTCTCATATGTATTATTAATTATATTAATTATTTAAAATTTATTATCTTTATACTTTAGAAATTAATTAAAACACATAATTTTATTTTTTAATAAAGAATGTCTTAAAATTGAATAAATATATTCTGGTGATCGTGTAATCGATTTTTTAAAATAAGAAGTATAATATATATAGATTAATAAAATTCATATAGAATTGTATTAAATAGTCGAAGAATCCGGTACCATATGCAGTTATTTGATAATTAAACAATAAAATATATATATACTTGTATACTGTGTCGTTAATGTGTTTATTATTTTACCTGGTGAATTATATTGCGAATCTCCACAGGTACGGGGAAGTTTCTTTCGACTTCGTCACCCTCATCCTCTGGGCCTGGGAAAGGTTTCGCTTCCTGCTGCTCGTCGCCGCCATCCGGGCGTTGGCGACCTTCAATGTTTCCATGCTCGATCAAATTTCTCACTTCCATCGGAAGTGGGAACGGTCCTAATGGTATTGGTCTCGCGTTTTCGGGGAACGGCTTGAGTTCCTATTAGCATTACAATGTAAGTTTATATATGTAATGAACACGTTCTAACGTTTACTTGTCATACAATTTTCCAGAGAATTTACTGTAAAGATTTTATATCGCTAATTTTATATCCAAATTCTTGCATAACTTTATCGTTACCTAAGACGTATGTGAAATTATGATTTTTACGTTCTTTCGAAACGTTTTACGATTTAACATAAACAAATAAGCAAACTTACCTCACGACGTGCTCCATCTGGCACCTGGACCGGGAACGGTCTGGCTTCTCCAGTGATGTGCTGGATGATATTCTTGATCTCCAACGGTACCTGTTGAATTATTCTTCTGATTTCGAAGGGAATGCCTTGGAATGGTGAGCGTGGCTTCTCAGGCGCGACCTGAGGCGGGGCGGGTGGTCTCTGTTCGGTCTGCGGGATCATCACGGGCGACGTTTGATGTATCCTGTTATCTTGGACCTGTGCCTCGGCTTGCGGAGGAGGCGGGGGCATCATAACCGGACCTTGCTGCTCCTGGTTGTAAGTATTGGGAATTTGCTCGGGCTGCTGCTGATACATCACCGAGATCTGCGGTTCCTGACGAGGCTCCGGAGCAATTGGTCGCATTCCTCTCAGCGGATCCATCGGGAAGTGACGCAGTTCGATAGGGATCTGACGCATCTCGACCTGCATCATCAATATAAAATAATTGATCATTGCGCTGAATAAATTATTAATAAATGAATTATATCTATGACAGCGCCAAGTTTATTTATATCGCTCGACGGGCAAAACTCACCTGTGGTCCCATCGGATTGTTTTGAGGTGCCATCATGGGCATCTGCGGACCCATTCGAGGCGGTCTCATCTCCATTGTCAGTTGAGGAAGATTACGGAGCTCAGGTGGAAGTACACCCGGTGGGATGTGATTTAATCCTCGTGGGTCGCTGAGTGGCAATTGCTGCATATCGGGAACTTGATACTGGGTGTGTATCTGATACTGATGGTAACCCGGATTCGGTTCCTGGGACTGAAGAGGAATTTGCACGGTGCCTAGAGGCACGATGATCGGAGTGAGCATTTCCTGCTCCTGTTGTCTGCAAAAACAGAAACATTAATAATAAAGACGTTATCGCTGCGCTCTATTATTTATATTATTTACAGTAACTCATATAAAAATATTTAATTCTTCGTTTCCGTTGTTTCTTTATTATTTTTTTTTTTTGTTATTTGATAAGTGTAAAAATGCTTTTTTGCAATGCAAAGTTATTCCATCTACCTACCAATTTTGCGACGAATAATATTGTCTCTTGGTACTTTATTATTAATTAGATCATGACTTAATATCATTCACTCATTTAACACCTCGACTTATATATTCTCCTCTACTTTTACTTACTCGTGGTGTGGACTGCCTGATTCGCAAAGAATAGCAACCCGTTCGCCGCTCAGTCTTTGGAAACGTTGCGGATCAGTACTGTTATTTAAACCGTTGTCGTTAGTTCCGTCCGTCACCTCATCGGCCCGTCGTCTTTCAACCACGCATGAAACTCTGCTGCGAGCTTGCTGAATTAGCGTCTGGAAGATCACAATCACAATTCAAGGAACGGCTCGAATGTCAGTATCTTTGCAAAAAAAAATGGATGCTACAAAAATTTTTATAGAACTATAATGTAAAATTTTTATTATATGATAATTATTATTAATATATTTGTGAAGCACGTGTGTGAAAAATATGGCTAAATTTGTGTAAGAATTATAAGATGATATATTTACGCCTGCAATATCGTCGAGATCCAACTGAAGAGGAAGCTTAATGTGCACGGGAGGGAATTCATCGTCATCGTAATCGTCATCATCATCGCTGCTGTCGCTGTCAGATTTTGAACTGTTCTCTCCATCTCCTTGGACTTTCATGTCCTTAGTATCGGAATCAACTTCCTTCTTCGTTGGTGCAGCGAGATTTTGCAGAGAATCCTTCGATTCGACAGACTCCTGTAAAAAAAAGTAATCTTCTTTAAATCCTTTGAAGCTTTCGTAAAAAATAATTTTTTGGAGAGTACAACTTGTACCGTTTATTTGAATGCACATTATCGCATGTCTTTGCTATAAAAAAAATTAATTTCACAAATAAATATATTATTTTATATTTAATTAAATTATATTTATAAATTAAATTATAATTCTTTTTATATTTATATCGACAACATATCTGTGTTTAGATATCTGTATTTAAATATATAATGCCAATAATTAAATCTAATTACAAAATACATGGAAGACAATATATATATAAGTATCACAGACGTTGAAAAAGTTTGTATTTATATCGGCGATGTATCAATACACTCCAGATTATAACTCTAATATTAGTAATCTATTAAAAGTCAAACAAAATTATTCTCCTTCGATAAAAGAAAATAGATCACTCTGCAACTTTTTATTTTTTGTGAGAGAAACTTAAAAAATACTGATGAAAAAAGATGAGTATTCCTCGAGGCTTCGAAAGCTGGACAAATATCGCCGCGGCAATCATCATTCGTTGATGCAACCCGTCTTCCTGGTCGCGACATCGGGTCACCAGTGAAAGTAAATTCGCTTTATATTATTGTACTGTGACTTCACCAACGATGGAAATCGCACGCAAAGAGGAAAACGTTTGAATATAAACGAAACAGTAAAGTCTTATTTTGATTTCGTATGTTTCTTTTCACGAGAGATATCATACATACATTTGAATAAAAATTAATATTATATATATAAAATTAGAAAAATATATATTTTTTAAAAATCACAAACTGATTAAAATAATAATAAATATTGTGGTAGAGAAACGGGATACTCTTTGTACAAATAAACTCAGAGCTATCGTAGTTAGAGATACGCTGACTTTCTCCGATAATAATTTCATGCAAACCACTTCTCTTGTTTAAATCTTATAATATCTTTCACGATAATAAGATTATAATAACTGCAATAATGTAAATTAATATCTATTTTGTAAAAACGCATTTTTCTTCTTGTCGACTGCGTTTCTGGGTCTTGTGCAATTACTGGATTTTGTGCAAGAGACTTGCCAATCCAAGCGTGCCATTTCGTCCTGTGTTCTCATCGCATCCGGTAAAATGTCTGCTAAATTAGGGATTACCGCGAACGCGGCGTTAATATGTTGAAATGCTTCTCCCCACGAATATCACGGCTGTTAGGTGTCTTTCCTTCCTAACGCATAGGCCGATTGGTAATGAATGATTATAGTTCTGTGCAAGAAACGCGCATTGCAACAACTGTACAATTGTGGATCATAACTAACATTTGGTATGTCTGCCAACGCAATGAAATGTATCGCAACAATGCAGCGGTTATTTTTATGACACAATCTTCTTACTACGATCTTTCCGGAAATCTTATGGAATTGTAAACAGCTAAAAGTATCATTTTTAATATAATTAAAATTAATTTTTAATTTAATTCTCTTCTGATTATCATTTTTAAATAATATTATTTTAAAAGTTGTTATCAAATATATCGAAGAATTGTAAGAATATTGAAACAAATAATATAATCTCTTTTATATGCACGTATACGTTTTTTATGTTCAATATAATAATTGCTAAAGTCATCAAGTCATCACACGCCAGTATACTTAAAAGATTTAACCGGCAATAATCTGGACGCGAAGAAACGGGAACACGACTAAGCACTTTCCACTCGGGGAAATTGTGCCCAGGATGTAGAAAGGATTCCACGACCGGACGAGAGCGACAGACAACCCAATCGTCTAGTTAGAATGGGAATAAAACTCGATAAACTGCGGGAACGTGCGTTATACATAACTTGGGCAAAGAGATAGCGCCTCGTGTATGCATGTCCTGCGAAATAAATTGCGATACTAATTTCGCGTATAACGATGAGAACGCGATGAAGGAGGCTGACGCACCGTTCATCTCACAGCTTTATTAGAGAACGTATCGCCTCTTAGTAAGTAATTACAATTTCCCGGGCATGCTTTAACAACCTCAAACAAGACGAGAAAGACGTTCTATAAATCTCTACAAGATGTCTGAAAAGTTTCTAGAAAATATAATAAAGAAAAAATGATTAAAATTTATCAGATAGACAATTAAAATATTATCATACACGAAACTCGTTAATTTATTTCCAATTAAATATAATACTTTCTCGTTTCATAATAATTAATTTTCCATTTAAATTCAGTTTAGTTCAATTTTAGAGAGAGAAAAGATCTGCTGATCTACATCGCTTCTCGCACGTTGTGCTCAAAGCGCATAAAATTTCATGTCGAAGTAGATACGATACATATCTTCACATATTGCTAGCTGCAACCTCTCGTTTAAAGCGAATATTTCTCTATAACATGTACAATAATAATTATTTGGTCAATTAAATCGACAATTGTGATTATTAACCGTATCCGTTAATCGTCAGAGATATGCTAAATTTCTTCCATAGCTTTTCACACACATACGCGTGTATGAAATGCAACACGTTGCATTTACAACACGCGATACGTGTCACTCTTTTCTAGGCTTGCTGTATTACAGAATAATTATCCTGTGTATATCGCGATGTGCAACCATCGTGGCACGAAATCCCGCAGAAAAAGGGAAACGAGAACTATGTTTCCACCCGTTCAGGATTCACGAAGCGTGCGACATGGAAGAAATTGCCATTGTAATTTGCCGCAGCGATGACTCCATCGTAAGGCGAATGGCTTTCTTTAGAAAACGCACCGGCTACCTTCGATCTATCAATTAGCGAAACATTATAGTTACTTTATCGTCTTTAAGACACGGTGCTGGATGCGTGTAGTGGTATTGCGAAACGATGCGACGCGAATTGTTGCAATTTTCAATCGCGACGTCTCATCAAGAGAGACATTTGTAAACTAAATTTATTATTATTGATGTATTTTGTAAATTGATTTATTATTGATACGGAAAGATAGGCAGAAATATGAGATAGCTTTGTCTGTTCATTAATAAAATTATAGACAATTTATATATTATCTTTATTAGTTTTATTAACTTTATTAATATTTATTGTTATCTGTATCATGTTTATGCATCTTTAATTTTATATTTATTATTTATAGAGTAAAATATATTTAAAATTAATTTAAGGAGACTAGATCGTCTATTCTTGGCTTGAGAGAAATTTTTATTAATTAAGACACTTGGATTTTCAAAATTAAACAGCTCCTTGACTGTTTTAAAATTAAAATTAAAAATTTTGTCCTTCATTAAAAGAAATGCGTACATTGATTCTATAATAATATACATATAAAAATATATGTGTGATATATATATATGAAATTGTAACTCTTATACATGGAGTAAATAGCGTAACCACTTGAATTCACTTAGCATAAAAGATATTGTACAAGAAGTCTTGCGTGCGAGCTAAATATATTCAAGTGTCCGTGCCATTTCCTTCACAAGTTAATAATCATAATGCGCAGCGTTCTGTCTGAGACGCAGAACAGAATCTATTCAATGGACAGAAAAAAAAAACTCGTCTAGATACATTCGTTTATATCACCGATCGACGATTCTCACGTATAAAAAAGGAAGAGTCGGCCACGAGGGCAGAGCATTACATATAAGTAGATGAGTGAGTCAGAATTCTATTTTCTACCGATGACGATGACGATGAGTATCTTGAGTTGACTTGAAGAAAGAAACTGACAAACGAAATAATATTATAATAACAGTCAATTCGACGAGAGAAAATCTGTTCAGAGAGCGTTCACCTCGCGCAACTGGCAACCCACTTTCGTCGCAATACGTTTTCCAAGTCTCGTTGCTCTCGTCGAGATGGTAAAACTGAGCAGCATCCTGAAGATACGGCAACCATGTCGTCCATGAATTCAACAAAAAAAAAAAAAATTATAATTTTCTCGAGTTGTGTCATTTTTATTTCTAATTTTGAATCGTACGTTTTCATGTATAATTAATGGCATTTGAAAATATGATTCTCACTTTACTGATATATAAGTATTAAATAAAGATATCTTTATTTAACAAAGAATTGATTTATATAATAATTATACTTGTGTAATTTACTGGTTTTCATACTATTGTATATGTTAGATAAATATGCATTTAAAATTCTAAGTCTTCTTAAAAATTCTTAAGTAGAATTTTTCAATAAAAATTGAAAAAATCATAGAATTAAACTGGAAATATTAATTTACGTTTTTGAAGACAAATGATCTTTGTGGAGATATTGTGCATTACGATCCAACATCATAGTCAACTTAACTTCCGTTTATAGCAAAACAGAAAATGGTTATAAAATCCGGGAATAATTTGCGAGGAACATGCACATGCAATTATTAATTTGCACTTATGATTCACCGCAAATTAAGAGGATCGTGTTCAAGGATGATCCTTGAAACCACGTTGCTTCTAAAATATGGACAAAACATCTATTTAAAGCCTCGAGGAAGTTTCTTTTTCGTTGTCAGTATGAAATTGTCGGTGATTAATGTCAAGGTGATTAAGGCAATGAGAGAACACAATTATATTCTTTAAATGAATTCTCATAAAATTCTCGATAAGCAATTGTATGCTTGATAATAAGTTGGTTTTCTCAGAATTGACATCTTTTAGATGCGGTAGTAAATTTTGAGATAATAATTTTTACCTCAATAAAATCAGTTTCAATAATAAATAATTTTAATTATTATATTTTGCAAATCTTTATATTCTAATTTTGTAAAACTTTCTTTTGCCCTTTTTATCGAAAAATTCTCTGGTCCTCCGGATCTCTAGATCTTGACGTCGATGAAACGATGTTCACGGGAGCTATGGTTCGTCTGTAACCGATCTCGCCGGATTTCATCGACCCCACGATGACCGATTTTCACCTTTGCACGACCGTTACACGAGTACAAAGTGCTTTTACATTCTCGCGGTGTACTTATACCGATCTTACTTTCTATCGGTCGCCATAAGGGGACCGGAAACGGCCGCCATGTAATAACGAGCGATCATACACGACGACATTCATCGACACGGGAAATAATCGATCTATCGGATTTCACTATTGAACATAGAAACAGCGCGCCCTATTTTTCGTTCGTGCTATTTCAATTCAATTAAGATGAAATAACTCCCTCGCGCAATGATTTATTATCGAGAATTACAGAGATACTCCGAGTTGGCATTATCGCGAAAACATTGATTATCTAGGCACTGGCAAGGCTCGTGAAAAAAATCTAATTTGAGAGAGTCGGTTTCTCGCGAACGAGAGAAATTGATTAACGACAAAGGAGAAAATACGTTGCGCGATTGAGCGCGCCGCTTCCGCAATTGTTTAATGAGCACTCGAGTCTTGTCTAACGAAAGCCAAATGATGGGCGACAGAATGTGCTGCGAGTTTACTTCAAAAGAAAATGACGCGAGTACAAGTTTGATTTATATTTGTATGTAATAAATATGTAATAAAATAAATAACATGTTTCTTGTAAAGCAGAGATAAACGAAATATTCGTGAATTAAAAATTCTTATAACAAGAAAAACAAGTCGAATATTTAACGAGAGAATTACTTACTTAAGCTGCAATTAACTATCTAATATTTATAGATTTACAAATACAAAAATCAAGAAGAAATTAATCGAGTTTTATCAATAAATGAAAAGAGAATGCTGATCTACACTTCGTCATCGATTAATCGAAGTTGTAAAAGCGAACGATCGCGATGATCGATTACGAATTTGCAAACCCAAGTGGCTCGCTCCTCGATCTACGATCGCAATCGCATACGAGGAACGCAAGAAGCCGAATTACGTAATTCCTCGGTTGCGGTTCTCCTTGAACGCGCCTGGCTCCTGGCACCGCTTCGCACCAGTTTCATCGCATTTCGTTTTCTTTGCGCTTTAACTCACGGACGAGATCGGAACGTGTCTCTTCAAAAGTCCGTCCTTTTTTACACGACGAACGTGCCTCTACGAAAGTCCATCCTTTTTTTACACTTTACCGCCAGAATTAATCGCCGTTGTCTACGTGCCGGCACGTTCCCACCGCTTTTTTCCGCGCTCGCGGCGATGAGAGATCGCGTCGCGAATTTATGATGGGAATGATGGTGCGTGAAAAAAAAAATCGCAATTTTTATATGCGCGTCATGCGTCAAACGTCAGTCAACTAGACACTAGGAAGAGATACGTGTATAATCTTATTTGGATCTACGCGCCTATTATACTCTCGCGACGCGATCATGAGCGAAAGTACGGTTGCGATTTAGGAAGAATACCAGATAGAGCGCTCGTCGAGATAAACGAGAGATTCGAAGTAAAAGTTACCTGCGAATCGTGTGTATCTATCTGAGATATCTGAACTTTCATATTCGTTAATATGTATTTATAAACTTGAATTTTAGAAACACTATAAAAAAAAATCATAAATATTATCTTCTTAATAGTATTAAATCTAATAGCACACGCACACAACGATCTAACGGGATCTAATGATCCCAATATCGTATTTGATGAATAAATCTCAAGACTTTAAACTCTCTCAGGAATCTCTCAGGAATCGGGAAACAAGCTTAATTAATATACGCATAAGTCTTTAGATGTTCCAGCTGTTGAATATATTAACATTGCTTTAGCATGAATAATCTTTTCTGAACGATTCGTCAATACCATTATTGTCACGTGCGGTTACGATAATCGCTTTGTCTTCTATTAAACCTTGAATCTCGGTTTAAGCAGAAACCAATCAAGCGAAACATGAATTCGAGAGATTCGGTTTATTGAGATTTCGTTTTATAGTGTTTGCTATAATATACGCGAGTATGTGTACGTGTATACTTCAATCAGATGTTTAAATTAGCATTTTTAATGTTTAAATAGATTTGACATTTGTGAATTATATGAAAATTACATCTCTTATGTACCAATTTTCGCAATTCTGTTGTTAATGAATACAGCGAGATCGTGGCATCGTAATCGCCGAAATGAATGCTGTGCTATTATCTTCTAAGCTTCCATCATTTCCCTACTTTAGTAGACAGTAAGATACAAATTGAGTAGCATACATGAACGTTGCGGGAGTCAATTAGATGTCTCTTGTAAAATTTCGAACTCTTAACCGACAGAAAGAGAAAGAGAGAGACATATTCCAATTTCCTGGTTTCGATTGCATTTCCATTCTATTGCATTCTTGTTTTACGTAAGGTGCTCGTTCTCAATTTCTCCGTGCTCGAGACGAGCGAGTCAATGCGACATCGTGTCATCGCGTGCAGATATAATAAAAGTCAAGCGATAATAATGCAATGCGTTTCCCATCGAAGCCTCGCTATTTCCGTCGATTTAATGAACGTGCATAACGTTGCCCAATCGATCGAGAAGTATTTTGCGACTTTTTCACAAATTTCGACGCACGGCAATATAAAAATATTTTTATTATCTGGTACAATCCGTTCAATAAGCAATTCGCATGCCAATTCAAGCATATATCTACAAGACTCTCGTGCACCTCTTTCTCTCTCTCTTGCTCTCTCGCTCTTTTGACAAGATGCATAAAAAAATACGCTTGTAAATCGCTCTACGCTTTCTAAATTTGTGATATTTTATGCTTAATTCACTCATTAGCATCTGACCGTTTGTAAATTTCAGCGGACATCTCGGCGAAACGCATGCAACTTTCGACTCGTTGGACGAGTCGATTGCTAAATGTGAAATTTGGCAAGTGTTCGTATAAATGCAATAAAGAGTCAAACAAAAGCATTCGGAAAAAAAAACAGGAATATTGACAAGAAACAATTATTGAGTAATTCTCCGAAAAATATATTTTGCCATTATGCAATAACTAAAAAGAAACAAGAAAATTTATATTGTGTTTAGAATTTAATTTTTTACGTTAAATTGTTCCATATGCAGAGGTACGAAAATTGCCACTTATAGATATATGTATATTGACATCAATATTAAAATAAATATAAGTGTTAACATCAAATATAAAATATTAATTAAAATCAATATATTATTATATTGATATAAATTGAAAATATTAAATATATTAATTAAAATAAATGTGTGTATAATTTACAGTAAACGCAACATTAACAAAATATTATGCATAGTATATATAAGTCGCAATTGATAATTATTTCACGTAATTGTTACTCGCAAGTCATGCACGCGATATCGTGGATAATTTTGCAATTATGTACTTCCTGAAAAAAAATCGTACACCGCAATTATTCGTTACACTTACTTACTTTGTTTTTGTGATATAAACTAACAATTTATCTTTATTAACTTTTCGGAGATATTTTTTCTTGACAGATAAAATTTCTTTACGGACTCTTACTGCAATAATCGATTTGTCGATTCATTCTAATTGTCGATTCTAAATATTTACAAAGTTGTAAAGTCGTATTTTGCGGTCGGAGCGGCTGAAAGAATCTTTGACTAATCTTGGCAGATCTCAGTAATCATTATGCTGGTACTAAAAATAAGCAAATACCACAAAGATGGGCGTGACCCACGATAAATCGGACACGATCCTTTCTTTCCAACGAGCGCCATGAAGCGATGCCACTCGGTGATATATAACGGTGAATATCCTTCGACCTTTAGCACAATTATTCAAAAAGCGCGATTAATCAATACTTCACCTTAGCAAGGAAATTCAAAGCTTAACTGTCAAGACATCCAAATTCCGAATATTGTGTGTGTTAAAAAAAAATTGAAAGGGAAGGTAGAATCTGTGAATGAACATTTGTTGGTTCGTTATGTACAGACTCATTATATCCCCGAAATGTCAGATCCCATGTGTCACATTTTATTTGTTCCAACGTATTAGTTATCGCATCAGTTAAAGTTTTGCGCGCATTGAACGCGTATTCTGCGTCGCAACTTACGAAAGCAAATTTACGTTTTTTTTTTTTTTTACCAGGCGCGAAAACGGGCGTTAATTGCATTAACGGCATCGTACTAACGTTTCTCACTTTCAATCGTAAAGAACGCACTTGGCAACTCCTCCGTCGATCAATTCCTTTTACGATTCGTCAAACGCCGTCGCGTTCGACGTGAAAATTTAGAGAAATCTCCGCGAAAATCACTACCGTGAATGTAACGAGTTGAAAGCTGCGACGTCGGCTGCGTTTTTGCACCGAACGGAGAGTTTAATAATTAAATGAGAAATCTGCAGCCATCACGATCAAATCCATAACGACTCTAAGCAAATTATGATCGTTGGACGCTCGATAATCGCGTTTACAGCTGTATTTTCAAAATAAATGCCGATAACGACGTTCAGAAAATTTCGATGAAAATTTTGTTTTACTCTGTTCTTTCTTCATAATTACATTCGTTTGAACACACTTACCTTGGGCTCCATGCAATCAAATCACTGTGATCGCCACGAGTCAAATTGACCGATCAAATCTACATAACAAAATCAGTGCTAATTTTCGTTATCATTACGAGAAATTTCAAGCGTTGTGGAAAGAAGTATTTGATGTATAAGATGTGGAATTACATTTATCTTTTTGCATCAAATATATACCTCTGAGTGTCCTTTTTTTCGCATATAACAACGTTATATAAAAACAATTACATTTACATTTGTATCTCATTTTTTTCTCGTAGACAAATCAAATATTTAACGATAATTTAATTGACTCCTGCGTTAATCTTTTGTATTCTTACCTGCACCAAAGCTTCCGGCTGCAGATGTTTGAGGAATTCGCCTTGTGGCTGATACGTGCCGAAAGTCTGTTGTTGTTGCTTCAGCTCGGCCTGCATCGCCGCGATCGATTCTGGCGTGCAGGAGGCTCTAGCCTGAACCCAGGATGCCGCCAGGATAAAGCTACCAAGCACCACGGACATCGTGATCAGGGTAACGGCGGCGATCCTGGCGATCTGAACCGCCGTGCTCTTCATCGGCGGTCTCATGTACGCCTGTAAAAAAATGTAACATTTTACGAAAAAGGGTTTAATCTCTTTTTTTATTATTAAAGAATCAGCGGCAAATAAATCCACTGCTTTTAACGTTAACGTTTTAAAAGCGACAATCGCGAAGAGAACGTCAAAGGAGAGTGCGAAACGACAAAAGGCCTCGACTCGGTTGGTTAACCAGCGTGAAGTCCCATGTACTATTGTATGTGTGCGCATTGAGAAGAATATACCAGCATCGTTCTGTGACAAAAGTACGATAGAAACGTATGCATTCGTACGCATACGTTTGTACGTATATATGTACATACAGGCAGTTTCGAGAACGTGAACACGAACATATCGCGCTTTACCGCGATTTCCCGCGCCTAGTTACAACGATAGAGGGAGGGAGAAAGGTGATTATGTAAATTCTTGTATGTGTGTTTATTCATTTTCAGCCGATTCAATTAGATATCGTGGAAATGCAAACCTCGATTTTCCTTGGCGAGTTCTCCAAGTTACGTCAGATTTTACACGGGAAATATATATCGTATTATATATAGATTCTCTTTAATTTACGTACTGCACATTTTAAGAATATTATTTATATATTTTCACACCTCATTAAAAATTCTATCGATTTATCTCTGTTGATTTCTATATCTATCATAATCCTATCCATCAGAATATAAATTAAATATTTTATACAATAAATACGCATATATCCATATATTTAAATAATAACATCCGTTACCAGTCATTAAACGAATCCGCGCCTCGCAATCGAGTGGGTTAACGACAGCTGGGTTAACGACAAAATAAATTACTACGTCGTCATTTAACTCCTTTGAGAGAAGGAATAAACCCGATAAAATACATCTAACGCGTGATAACTGTACCTTGACATTATTATAGTGTGGTGCGAACCCCGTTTTGACGCCTGACGCCTTTGTAGATCATGTTCGCCGCTATTTTACGCGAAACTCGTCGATTATATGTGTGACTTGTGTGATCTCTATTTTATTATAATTATATGCTATATCATATATTTGTCGAGATGTCGATCGAGATGAACGTCGCGTCTCCCATATTGATTTCGAAATAAAAAGCACACTTCTAACAATCCATCCGCTTTTTTAGAGTAAGATGGATCAAATATCTTTACGTTAATTCATCACACCGGCATAATTTTTGGATATTTTTCTGTATGAAAATTTCTCTACGGAAGATGTGTGTGAGACTTGCATCACGGACTGTACTTGTACATACAATTCGTAATGACCTCGATGCGGATGGACGACTCGGGTGAGAGGCTTCCAAGAGATAGTAGGCCATCCGAGGCTGGCTTTATGCCGTGCTATCTATCTGACGAAAGTAAACAGATACTGTTGCCAGGCATTGGAGGCGAAAAAACTTTATTATTTATTCTTCGAGACGAATATCTCGGTTTGTCCTCCGCTCGTAAGTCATTGACACTCGTTGAGTTCGTGAAGAACGTTCCGGAACAATGGTTAATCGCGTCGCGAACTGATTCGAATTGCGGTAGAGAAAACGATCGTGATTTTATACTATTTAAGCGAAATCACTCATAAACCATAATTTATAGAAATTGTATTGTATGATACGGTCAATCAAATTTTGTATATTTAATTAATAGAAAATGTGGTTTGTCGATGCTCTGATAAATTGTGAAACACGCGTTTGAAGATGACAATCAACCTTAAAGACTGTAATTCCTACGTCATGTGATCGACATAGTATAATTTTATGAGACAACGTTTTGCACTTTCTCTCTAATATATATACCTGTGCACGATGCAGGCTGCATGCTTGAAATTAACGAATGGAAGTAATGTTTTTAGTCATTTATTAACCTCCTTAAATTGTTGAGCGCGTGCTCGTAAATGTGCCTTTTGTTTCGATAAATATGATATGTATTTTGCATGAACAACACGAGTATGAAAAAAACTACATATTGCATTGTACCATATATTCTGACACACATTTCTAAACTATATTAATTAAATATTACACATATTTTAATGTCCAACTTTCTTTGCAAGATTATTCTTTTTCATTTTTCTCAATATCTTTATCTATAATGTATGCGCGCTAATTTCTTAAAAAAATATATTATCATTGTCATTTAAAAAAAAATTTTTATATTTTATAATTTAACAAGAAATTCTGATTTTTCACATATCCTGTTGCTTAATTTGGGAAACATAATTGAATTATTAAAACTCGCGAATAAACGAAAGTCGATAAACTCTTATCGAAAGAAACGATTAAGAATCACGGAAAAGAATTCGATTTGTATCTCATATACTTTCCTGAAATTCCTGTTCAAGTTCGTCTTACGTAAGCGCAGACTGCTTCCATTATATGTACACGCGCGAATAAATGAACGCCAATAATGCGTGAAAGAGAGAGAGAGAGAGAAACGAAAATGCGGAGGCGTTCAGGGACAAATATCTTTTTGTTCAAACACTTTACAAGCTAAACCGAGAAGTGCGAAAAACATTATAAAATGTATAACCATTACGTTGCATTGCAAAATATTATATAATATGTGCACAGCTATCTTGTCCATCTATGCATCTTAAAAGATAAGACGTAAAACTTGAGTACGCCGTATGATTAAAAAGAATTTCTTACGCGCGATCGAGACTTATCTTAGCATGTATAATATTATTTAATAAAAAAATATAATATCGCCAGGAGCCGGTAATACGCATGGCAGAGCAATCATTGTTGCTGATGGCATAGGCGGAAATGGTCTTCTGGTTTGTGGAGGTGAAGGGGCTTGAACTCATAAAAAATAAGATAATACGATTTCCTTATAGCGAATTAGTGCATATTACTAATGATAATTATTGTACGCTTATGTTGGCTTTTGTCGATATTGTTGTAGGTCCGCTTCGCGCGTTGAAATCTCCGGAAAGTTCGACGCGCAAGTTAAACCTCAGTAAATGAATGGTTGATTACTCAATAGTGAAACGAAACGCGAAACGTGTTATTTGGACCCTGTGATATAATAATCCTGCGCTTGATGCAAAAAACAACTAAAAAATTATTCAAGAAGATAGTTATTCACGCGAAAACGTTATAAGAGAAACGTCTCATATAAATGTTTTTGATCTTTCTTTAGTATTTATTATATATATGTATAGTTCCGATTTTATTTTCATAATGTTTGCATTTATTTAAGTCACATACGATTTTTTATAAGAATTGACACATTAATAATATTATTAAATTATTTCTTATATAATAATCAAAGTTCAAAACAACTCTTGTCAAACATCGATTTTTTGTGCTTACAATTTTGCAAAATTCGCCGGCGAGTATTACATATTTGCATGCATATGCGTGTATATATTTTAGAGAAAGACAGAAAGAGAATGGAATGGCCAACAAATTCGGCATTCAAGGACCCTGCGAGTCGATAAACATAGCACACGATGTCATCGCGACGATGGAACGAGTTTCGAAAGCTTTGTTTCCCTTTCACATATTTTCAAGGTTTAATTTTCCTCCTTTTATGTATTCAAGCGGTGTTTTATATTGTAAACGACCGTTTTTTTTCTTAGCACGAATATGTAACTCTTTCGGACGGAAAAGACTTCTCTCTTTACCCGATTAAAAAATTGACAGAAAGCAAACTGTCTTTTTACATTCTTTATTCCATCGCCTATTATTTTGTACTGTAATTTTCTATTTTGTAACAGTAGATTTTTTATCATCGTGCAATAATGTGACTATTAGTAAGTAAAAATCCGTGATACAATTGTATAATTAATTGTTTGAGATACGATAGCAAAAATCATTCATATTAAATAAAAAAATATTGGACAAAAATATTTCTTTCGCGTAGAATAAAGTAAAATTCAATTTTGTGTAAAACATCTTTCAAAAAAACACACTGCTGAAATTATTAAACTCTTTTACTATCTGGAATAAAATGTTAATCTGATCATTGAAATTGTAATTTTTCATAATTTTTGTAACATGCACATATATTCGTTCAAGTACGATGAAAAATAGAAAGTTAGATATTTTTAGGAAGGAAATATACGCTGCATTTAATGTTTTTTTCTCAAACTTTTTCGTTGGTCAATTAAGCGTTAATTTTTAACGACGAAGCACATTAATGTTTTTTTCCATGGCAGAAGTGCACGCGGTCTCTCGGAGTGTAATACATATTTAAGTCTTTTCGTCGTAAAATTAAGATTCGCACGTTGTTTTGCTTACTATAATAACCGTAATTAAATCTTCTTTATTTTTCTGGTATAACGCGTGCTATTCATTTCGAGTATCATTTCTGTTTAATAACTGCATTCCTCTCTCAATTTTCTTGAAGAAAAAAATGTATGCGTTTTTCGATATTATACACGTTAAAATATATTTCGCAGAAATATAAAATAATAAAGAAATAAAACAAAATTTTCTCTTGTGTCGGCGAATAAAAAAGGATATTCGTTTTAAACGCGTGGATTTCGACTGCTAATGAAGTGTATTTGATATATTCTAGACTGTGTTTCTCTTAATTCTCTCACCATTAATTATCGTCGGCTATTTTTAATCTGTCTTAATCTAAAAGATAGATGATCGAATGAACAAACAATAATAATGAACAATCGCGCAAATGTACAATCGCTGTTGTGATTGCGAGTTCCGCGCACACATAATTATGTTACAAAACAACTTTCGCGGAAGTGGTGTATAACTTATCTGCGCGCTTTTTGCGAATACATTTTGGTAATTAAAAAAAGCTTATGATTTCAATAGATTAACTTAAGATCATTAAACTAATGTTCTCCGATTATGTAATTACACGTGCAGATCATTTTGCATCAAAACTTGCAACTGCAAAAGCTGCGGTATAAATTATCGAGAAATAAAAAGAAGACTGATAATACATTACAAGAAAATATTAGAATTAGTTAAGCAAAGAAATTACAAGGAAAATATTCGATGTCTATCGATGTTGCCTTAGACGTTATTTTTCTAAGCAATGATAATTTCTAAAGTTGCACGCCATTTGTTATGCTTCATGCTGTATTATATGTAAGCTGTGTCCAATATGTCATTAATGCATTTTCAAGGAAAAATCACGTAACTCGTTGAATATCCTTTTTTTCTGTACCGGCTGTACGTCCTTCGGAGATCCTTCAATACGTCTCTATATGTTACGTCTCTATGTTTTATCGTCCCGATCAATTGAGCCTCGCATGTAATCTTTGCAGAGACACAGTTGAGCGCGCAATGACAATTGTACGATCGTACTATCCGATATTAACCTTTGATTTGCAAACAATTAAATTTCACTCGACCATCTGAAGCGCGAGTCGAACAGCGTTTGCAAGTGCGTTACAATATGCGATATCGCAACGTCAGCGATAACAATGGATGAGACATTATGTTTACATTATTAATTGTTCACATTCAACTCATCGATTTGAATGAAGCTAAATTTATAGATGTCACACGACGTGCCCTCTTATGACGTCTCGCTTCGAGTTTAATGACGCGGATATACTTCGTTAACATATTCATTTTCAGAGAAGCAACGATAATGACGACAATAGTGAATGTTTCATAAATATTCATTCTTGACATGGAATATTCCTATTTTCCGATAACATGGTAGATTCGCATAAAAATTGTCAAAATAAAAAATATACTACTTTCTACCCGTTAAATTTCTAATATCATTTCGAATTTGCTATATGAAACCGTTCCTTTCGCATCCAAGGAAATTAATGACATCCGCGAGAATACGGACCTCAAACGAGAAATCGATTGATTGCCATTATTATCAGTAACGACAGAGACGTAATTATGTAAAGGCAAGTCGCGTGGATCGTTCGAGCTGACAAACAAAGAGTATATCATGAGAAGTACTGCAATTTCTTCGTTGTAATTCTCTTTCTCATTATAGCGGCAATGTTCAATTATACCATATAGTGCCAATTTTCGAACTGCTATTATCTCCACATTACAGTCGCTATTACTTGCCATTTTTCTATTCAGGGAAATAACCGCACGTGTACAAAATTATTTGCCGTTCTAGACGTCGTAATTGCAACTTGATGATTTCATATGAAGGCCATCAGGTTTTGCTTTATTATATATTTTGTATCTATACGTAGCAAGCCACATTAGTAAACTATCTTTTTAATTGCAGTTATATTTAATCGAAATTCTATAGTAGAGATAAAAAAAGATAGAGATGAATGTCGCCTATTATTACTGTATCTAAATGTGCTGAAAAATTATATATATATATATAATTTTGTGTATGCGTATGTGTATAGTTTTAAATGCAAAAAATTAAACAATTTGTGACTTTAAATGTTTTGTTCTTTTTTTTACTCAAGCTACATTTTCATATTTACTTTTGCTTTTTTATAAGATACCAATGGGAGCAATAAAATTTGCACAAGTGTAAAAATGTGATAATCATTTTCGTCATTCATAAAGTTTCAGCTTCGTAAGTTTTCGTAGACTGTTTAAAAATCCGTTTATAAAGTTCACAAAAAATATAGAAGATAACATATGGTTTTAATTCAAATGAAACTTCATTTAAGTTCTCGTTGACTTTAAGATTTTTTTTTAGATTTCTAATTTGAGAATTATAAAATAAAATTTTTTAGAGATATTGTGAAAATTGGGAATAATGAACTCGTTTCTTTTGCTAAAGAAAAATTGATTCTAAATTGGCCGAAGAATAAACGGATGAGAAGTGATTTCTAATCCGTGGACGAAAGCTTACCGGTGGCGGTTCGGCGGAGGAATAGACCTCGCTGGGAGCATAGTGGCTATGAGTCTGCGGCATCTTCTCCGAGACGACGGCGACGGTCGCCAAGGAGTCCGGTTGATCCTTCTCCATTGTATTTTCGGTTCGACTTAATCCACGTAGCACAAAACGACCGGTCAGACGATCCGGAACGTCAATATCTCTCTTTTTTCTTCCTCTTCTTGAACCGATTGACTATCCTTTTTTCTCTCTCTCCCGGTGATGGACAATTATTTAAAAACTCTCTACGCTCCGATCTGTCACCCGGTGTCGATGGCTCGACGGGTCGACGAGCAGTGAGCGTCGAGGAAGCGCTGACACCGCTAGCTTAGAGATGCCCCCACCTCTAAACCGGCGTGCACTACCTTCGGCTACCACGTTACCTTTTGGTACCAAGGTGTACCTCCTCCGCGCTTGTCGGTCGTCGATGGTAGTGTTCTTGTTGCCGGACTTTCTAAACACCATGTGTGTGCGAGCACACGAGCGTGAGTGAACGTGAACGGTTCGCTGCTATACACTTGCGGCACGCTACGCTGCTGTGGATAGCAACACCGCGATGGTTTTGCATTCTTTTGCCTCGTTGTTTCTTGAGATTTACAATAAAAATTGAAGAATCAGTAATTGAACGTACATACATTTTTCAATTTCTTATTTCTACGTTTATTTACATTTTTTTATTCGATATTTATTCGGATATCATAATCGGTGCGCATGTAATATGAATTTTTTACAAATAATTGATTGGCACAAATGCTGTTGGGACGAGCGCTTTTTAACGAGGGACACAGCAACCGATCGCGTGCGATGTATAGAAATGACGTTATCGGCTCCCCTGCAGTTCGCAGGAAGTGACAGCCGGAGAAGGCAAAGAAGTTTATATTACAACGGTAATATATGGTAGATGATCGTATGTCTATGTGGCAGTGAACAGAGAGTTGGCGGGGGTAACATCGAGAAAGCACCTTCGTTCATAATAATATTTAATTGCGGTGGGAGCAACGTTTTTACAGAAGATATGAATATTTATTAGTACAAAATAACAAATATTCACATTTTTTGAAAAAAGGATACTAGACAAATAATGCTCGCGACATAGAATGGCTTTGATGAACATAATTTAGATTATTGCAGAACTTGTTTAACAGTATCTCTTAACCGGATTAAAATGTTAGATATATTCTTAAGAGAAAATAGTATATAAAAGAATATAAATGGCATATTAATTTAAAAAAAACAAAGTTTTGTATCTCAAAAATATATAATGAGAGCTATATTTTCTTGAATTAATTTCAAGTAGACTCTAATCACAAACAGATATCAAACATCTAAATTTAACAATCAAAAATTCAATGACAAAATCTTTTTAACATATCGCGGTATTCTTTGTGAGATTAGTTTCAGATTACTTTTTGATTGCACAAACAAATCGATTGCGTTTTCGTGGATAAATCTTCCTCGTAAACGAGCGTTCATTATTGAAGAAAAGAGAGAAGCGCGCGCGAGACATTTGTAAGTAGATTGGTAAATATTCGTACGAGCTGTGTGTGACGAACGGATCGCGGAGAAAGTAGGAAATGTACGTCCTCCCGAGTAGACATGAGGCCGCAGATAGTAAATCGTCGCTTGTTCGTCGCATATGGTAAAGCGCGAAAAAAAAACATGTGTTGTTATGCGTTATGTAGATAGATATACAACAGATATGTATTCGAAGGGTGTGGTCCCGCTGTAGTTGAAAAACCGGAGGTAGATTCCAGCACATTGTAACAAATTTAAATACATGCATTGATTGCGTGATGTGTGTGGAATAGTTTATCTTTACAGATTAATTTTTTTCCGATTCGATTATATTTGCTTCGAAATTCACTACACTCGGCTAATTATCCATTTTAACCGGGACGGTCGTGTAATTAGGCGCATGGAAAAGCGATGAATTTAATTACAATCTTGCCGCTTATATTCTCGCCAATTATGTACACGCAACAATTATCGTTTATCAGCGGTAGAAGACATTTTAGTCGTACCAACATTTTGCACGCGAATTTAAAAACAATGTTGCGCGCAGATTTTATTCCCAGAAAGAAAATTTGCGATGCAAATAAGTACGGTTAGTTCGATAAACCTCTTGCATCTCTCTCAGATATACAAGCTTTCACTTAATATTTTCAAACAAAAACATTATTTCTATAACTAGATCGTTACTGTGCTAAATCACACACACATACACATGTACACACGTTTTCAAATTGCAACATTATATACAGTACATCATTTTCCAATTACTTTTACAGTATTACAAATATATATACAGGGTGTCTGTCCATAAATGTCCAAAAAAATACATTGTAGTTAATTACGTACTTTTTCTTAAAGACAACTATTTTTTTTTATACCAACTGATTTATCTCATTATTCTGTACATAAAAGTATCACGATAAGATTATCGAAAACAATAACTCGAAAAATACTTAATAAAAAAATACTTTATTATAGTGTTTTACAAAGGTCTAGACAAGGGGTTTAAAAATATGCAACAAAAAATAGGGAATTCCGTTTAAAAAAAACGATGGTGACCTTTATAACTTGAAAAGGTTACGAGCCAAAAAAATTTTTTTACATGTGCTTCATTACGAACTAAAAACTGTGCTAATTTCTCTTATTAAACTTTCTTGTAACTTCAATCAGTTGTGAGATATTTGCTCGGACATTTAGGGACGGACACCCGATATATATAAAATATGTACAATAAAATCTTCCTCTCTTAATCATTTCTCGTGAATGCGAAAAATTACTTATTTATTAAATAATTAAAAAAAAAATAGATTCGTTATATCGGATACATGATTTCTTTTCGCTAGCTAAACAATATAATGTATCAACGGCATTTCATGGCCGTTTATAACAACGCTAAATGAATGCCTTCTCGCGCGCAATCTTTCCTACATTCGTTGTCGCCATCATGGAGAAAATAGACGTTCCCACGCAACGGTCGTCTTTCTCGGTGATAAAAGGCGAGATAAGCCACCGGTAGACGCATCGCGAGAGAGAGAAGAGCCGCAGAAAAATATGTTTTCTCCGTGCGCGCGTGGGGAATCGTGTATGTTAGTGCATAAACCGCATAATCATACTCGTTTAGGATCTTTTGATCCTCTTCGTGTAATGTATCACGAATAGATGGTCGCGCGACAACCATTCGCGGAGACTCGCTTTCTCTGACAGTAATGTAAACACCATGCCATTTTCAGTGCACTATGCGCCCTGCATGTCTTGTATCAAAATTTATGGAATAAATCTTTCAAAATGTATATTTTTTTCCATATAAAAAATTTCGATGACTAAAATTGCAAGTTAGTTGTTCAACAAAATAATTCTATCACCAATGTTTTCTCGATTTTTTGCGAAAATTGAGAATGCAAATTTCTTCATATTCTATTATCTCATAAACACAATAAGAATTTTATATAAATTTTCGTATAAATAACTTTAAAGAATGCATAAAATATTCTAAACTTGAATGAAATGATAAAAAATACATTTTTGCTTGAATTGAAATAGTAAATTCAGATTGGCATTTTTTATTTGTTTTTAAATAAAAATTTAAAAAATTAAATTAAAAATATTTTTGTTAATTGTTTTGAACAAAAATTACTAGACCGAGGAGTGACTAAGATAAATCGTATTTTATAACTACACTCCTGAATAGAGAAAACTGCTTCTATATATCTCTTACAACACAACATCTTTGACGATCGATCTACATATGTTGTAAATACTCCTAATTCTTTATAAATTTTTATTGTTCATCAACTTCGATCATAAAGTGCAGTATGTATAATATTTTAACACTTAACTTGTTTTCCTATAAAAGCAATATCAGAAAATTGTATAGCACAGTATAAAAAAACCGCCTGGATTTATAATTAAAAAAATTATATTATGCATTAACATGCATTTGCAATTTTCATATATTGGAATAAATCATCGCTTTATTATAACCGCATAACGCAATTTTTTCTCCTGTGGGATGCCAATATGCATCCACGATTGTCATATTTTTAGACATCGGCAGAGATTGTACACCGTTTTGGGTCCATTCATAAACACATGTACATTCAGAGAACACGAGCAATTGTGGATGCACAGGGTTCCATTTGATAGCTAAAGATAATAAAATGCATCAATACATCGTTTTCAAAAGGATTAACTTGGCTTTTAATTTTACATACCTGTAATGGGGTTTTCGAGTAACAGGTAATCAAGATAGTCCGTACAGATATTCCATATCCACAATGTGGTAGGATAAAGCTCATGCTTCAGGGCCAAGTATTGTCCACATGTGCTAAATTCAAATAGTTTTACTTTTGCTATTGAGAAATTGTCATTATCATCTTTCTTCCCAATTTCTATAAATATTGGCCTTTCGTGTATTTCACATACTGAAATTACAATAAAATCAGATTCCTTTAAAATATTTCTTGTAATAGCATGTATCTCTTTGATTTAATAAACATTGATTCGTTGATATCTTTCATTTACCAATGCATTCCTCGCATGAAGCAAAGCGTTTATTAGAAGTTTTTTCCAAATCAGTGCATTCCTTGTACACTCTTGTTAAGTAATTAGATTCCCTGATCACAGGATCCAGATATAATTGCGACAATGGTTTCCATGTGATATAGTTAAGAAGGATAATCTGTGTATACGAATTTCAATTAGCTGTAAATATTAATGTAACAGAAACGAGCTAATAAAATACAACGTGAGAGAAATTACCATTTCGTTAAATCCGATTACAGCTAATAATTGTCCACTGGGAGACCATTCAATATTTTCGATTCCTTTAAGCTCCTTGTGCGTCTCCAATGGAAGAAACGTACCCACGGGTTTCTCCCATACAGTGGAATAAATGAGCAGTTTCGGTTCGGCGGGAGAGGAACACCATATACATAACAATTCATCGTTCGGCGACCAGCGGATCCCGTCGATGCTACGTAAACGCTCGCAGATAAGTTTCTAGAACAATTCAACAATTTGATTATTACACGCCAGACGAGTGTACGATTTCTATGATCGCCAAAATAAAATTTATGAATCAGCGGAAAAATCATACTAATCCGAGGCAGTGAATGAATTCAAGAAACAAATCTCGCGCATGCGTAACAGCGCAAGCGCTAGCAGACGCTGTTACGCTTCAGTTACATATATACATAACATATATGTCTACGCGTATATATCACGTTATAAGAAAATATATTAAATTCCTCGCGAAAATAAAGTAAAAAATATGAAATTATATATGTTTAATATTTTTATTCCTTTTCGTAATAGCGTGTATTAGCACTTGCGTTGTTACGCATGCGCGAGATTTGTCTCAATTCTCAACGCCAGTCCGAGCTCCGAGCACGTGCGCTCACGACACTTGGACGATGACAACGCGTTACGTCTCCTGTTCGTGCAATCGCGTGCCACATTGTGCCGATTGGGGCAGCAACGGCCTCGTCTGCTTCGGAACGTGCAACGCGATCGCGATATACGAGCCATGCACGCACATCGGTCGCGTCACGCACACGTTGCATCGGCATCACGACCGTGTCAACACGATACACTGGATAAGGCCAGGAAACGGGGCGCCGGAGACGGAATTCCTGTCCGGCTCCGTGGACGGTACCGCGATCATCTGGAGCGAGGATCGTCAAGACGGCTTTCGAGTTACCTCGCTGTTGGACGTGGGAGATGCCGTCACCTTTGCCGACTCTCTCCAATTATCTGAAGTTTCCTTGTCCACTGCTTTCCCGAGGCTGTTGATATGCACGGGTTCTATCAACGGCGACTTAAAGTTATGGTCGAGAAAGGAAAACGCAGATGTCGAAGTTATTCAGACTATTTCCTACGGAAGGAAATTACCATTACACTGTCGCCTGATGTACTTGCCGAACGCTAAATGTCCCCTCTTGGCTGTAGCATTGGAGGATGCTTCCATCGTTTTGTACACCAAAGACTCTGATGTATCAGAATCAAATTTTATAAAAGTCCAGAGTTTATTCGGACACCAAGATTGGGTAAGATGTATCGATTTTCATCACGATGGCGAAGGAAATCTTTTCCTTGCGACAGGATCGCAAGATAATATGATACGATTATGGAAAATTACTGGGGCTGTCACGGAATCGTCGACCGATGAACTTGAACAAAAAAGAGATACCTTTACGATAAACGATAGAGAATATAATATTACTCTGGAATCTGTTCTTTCTGGTCATGAAGGTTGGATTTATGGAGTGCACTGGCAGCCTATAGAAGGAAACAATCACCAAACAATGAGATTACTGTCCTCCTCACTTGACAAGTCTATGATTATCTGGGAACTAGACGAATTCAGTGGAATTTGGACAGAGAAAGTACGTGTCGGAGAAGTCGGTGGCAATTCCCTGGGTTTCTATGGTTGTAAATTTGGTCCAGATGGATTACGTATATTGGGGCATGGTTATCAAGGTTCTTTTCACATCTGGAAGTATTCCCAAGAAATTGCAAATTGGATTCCACAATCTACACCCAGTGGCCATTTTTCCGAAGTAGTTGACTTATGCTGGGAACCAAAAGGAAGGTTTGTATCGATTAATTGGATTCACATTACAGTATTTAAGAAATTAAATTCTGACTAGTTTTGTAGGAAAATTTAATTGCAATGTAAATGTGTATAGAATTGGACTGATGTATGTGTGTAAAGTTCTTTTTTTTCGTGGATTATTACATTTCAATCTATAAATATGTGAAAAATTAGAATTTTGGATCAATCTAATGAAAAGAGATTGACAATAGAAGGAATAATTTTAAATTATACTTCACAGATTTCTCATCACAGCCAGCACAGATCAAACTACGAAAGTTCATGCACCGTGGAAGGATGATCTTAAAGAATTATGGCATGAGATTGCACGTCCTCAGATACATGGATATGACATGACATGTCTAGTTATGTTAGCACCATACATGTACGCTTCTGGAGCAGAAGAAAAAGTGGTACGCATTTTCGCAGCTACGTCAACGTTTAAAAATCGCCTGAGACCGCTAGCAAATGTCGAAGACTTCAAATCTACAACGGCCCATGGTGCTACTGTACCTTCTCTTGGATTAACGAATAAAGCAACGTTTGACGAAAAAAATGGTCAGTGCGAAAACGAAGGAGATCTAACAACACAGGATATATATGAACCACCTACAGAAGAGGAACTAGCACAAAATACACTCTGGCCGGAATTGCAAAAGCTTTATGGACACGGTTATGAAATATTCTGCATGGCGGCGAGACACGATGGACAATTGCTAGCTACAGCATGCAGATCAACCACTATAGAACACTCGGCAATCATATTATGGAGCACCGACACATGGTCGCAAGTTCAGAAATTAGTTTCTCATCAATTGACGGTGACACAAATGGAGTTCTCTCCGAACGATAGATATTTGCTGTCTGTCTCCAGAGATAGAAAATGGTCGTTATTCAAAAACGAAGGCGAAAGTTATGTGTTAATCGCAGTTAGCTCGAAGAAAGATAGTCCGCATTCGCGAATAATTTGGTGCTGTGCTTGGATGAGCGATTCGAGTTATTTCGCAACTGGCTCCAGAGACGGAAAAATCGGTATATGGTCCGCAAAGACGATGGAGGACATAACTAAAAATGTTATACCAGAGATGATTCTAGACACACAAAACCAATCGGTTACAGCGCTATGTTTTGCACCAAACTGCATAGAAGGATCTTGCGTTTTGGCTATTGGATACGAAACAGGACATATAGAAATTCGAAGAATCACTATTAATTTGGAGAAGACATGGTCGGAATTATTGAAATATGATACTTCTCAGGCTCATCATTTAACTGTAAAAAAACTTATGTTTCGACCTAATAATGAACATTCTCACGATACATTGCAATTAGCAAGTTGTAGTTCTGATCATTCAGTTAAGATATATGATATAAATCTATCATCGTAGCGTTAAAGACATGATTTTTACAACATACAAATAAATTTCTACTCCAATATCGCGTTATTCTTGTATAAAATTATACACAATCTTATGGAAAGCTACGATTGTATAAATATCTACAAAATTCTAAAATCAATTCTAACTTTCTACTCACTCGACTTATCTTCCAATTATCAGTTTTGTAAATCTCCACATTATCCTGACCTTCCTCTGTAACTATCACAGCCAATTTCTTACCATCCGGATTAAAATGTAACTTATCGAAAGCAGAGGTCTTTAGATTTTGTATATGTGACACCGTCTGATCTTCCAAGTTCCAGATAGATATTTGAATCTTTAAATATAACACTTTTTAATATTCAAGGATACAAAATTAAATTTTTTTTTTTTTTTAGAGTAAAGCGTAAATTTTATCAAAAATTATGCTTACATTAAAATCTGCTATTGTAAAAATGCATTTACTATCTGGGGACCAAGCAACACTCTGCAAACCCGCACTACCTTCGGTGAGCTTACATTTCCATTGCGGATAATTCACCGAAAATACTTGTACGATAGCCTTTTTTATATTCGCGCATAAAATATATTCGCTATTTAAAGACCATTCCATATGCTGTAATAGAGAGATAAAACTACGTGAATTATCAATGACAACATTTAAATAAGTTAAAATTTTCATTCGATCATTCTTTACGACTGATAAAACTAACCTGTATCACATCCGCAAATATAAACGATTGACGGGTCTCGAGAGTCCTTGCATCCATTATTTGCAAATTCGTCTGAAATGCAACTGCCAAATATGCTCCGTTACTCGAAAAATGACATAAACGATTGTTTATGCGAAAAATCTTGTCCTCTTCGGCGTTGGCGGTCATGATGGAAGATTTGAAAACCTGTGGTTTTCTCGACAACTCCAGTCTCGCCAATCATGACACTTTGAAATCTCCAATCAATAAACTTCTCTCACGATCAAACGTGATAAATGCCTTTTTTCGCAGGAAAATCCGCAAAAGACGAGGCAGCTGATTGGCTGCGTCATGTTGTTACGTCAAATGACGCGGGACGCGCCATATCTTGCGCGCGTAATAACCTTTTTTGTTTATGGTAGCGGGAAATATTTACATACGCGTGCATACATATGTATGCTCGTCCATGGTTACGACAACTGTCAAAAGCGACAGGCATAAAACGAATCGACGTCGGAAGTGAAGCGATGCGTGCGGTGTGCAAAGCAAGATTGGGTCCAAAATAAGATTTATACACGAGCGTCTTTGACATTGCGCCCGTTGACAACGCCACGATAATTCGCTTGCGCAATGACGAGTCTTCGCGCTTTGGCGCTCGTCCTAGTCACGGAATCCTCGTAAGGGTTCTCGCTTCGCGACGAAGTGATCTCCTCTTTTTTTTTTCGACACTGCGATGCCGTTGCGTTTCAGCGGCGGGAAGAATAATGCGTTGTCATTGATGACGGTCGGAAGGGACGCATCCTCGTGCACGGCATCGACCCGGTGAATAGAAATGGGCAAGCAAAACGGCTCGTGTTGGTGGTGCGTGAAGGCCGTCAAGTGGATACCAGTGATATTCATTCTGACGATCGTCGCGTGGTCCTATTATGCTTACGTCGTACAATTGTGCTATTGTGAGTATTCCAGAATACTTAATTTTACGTCGTTCGCTCGATGTCGATCGATTTACCGGCGTAAAAGTCGAGAAATGATCTTTCTAACCTCAAATTTTTTTTTTTTTTTTTTCTTTTTCCTCGAAGTATAGCTCGATAACGGTGTATCTATCTTCTCATGACATCTTGTATGATTCTCGAACACGAGTGTATAATTGTAAAAGTGATTAGTTGTTAGTAGAAATGATAACGTAAAAAATTAAAATAGAAGTAAAATAAAATTTAATTTATTTACATATGTATTTCTTTACATATTTTATTTATTTACATTTATTTACACAGCTATGCCACAAATGTCTATTTTTAGATTTGTGGCGTAATTGTAAAATGAAGCTTTCATTCTTTTAGAAGCTTTTTATTATATTATGATATTATGTCTGTTTCAGATACAATAGACAACTATGTTCAAAAAGGTTTGTATATATCATGTATTATTTTATTTACGTGTTAATGATTGTCGCATTGTATTATTTAGCTGTTTTATCTTTTTTTGTAATTATAAATATTATTATTAGTATCATTGTTTTACATGTTTATATGATATATTGAATATTTTATCCTAATTCTGAAGCCATATCAATCAATCTCCTGTATACACACAATACTTTTATTGTTTATGTATGTTAACAGCTTTCTACCTGCTTTTCTTCCACATCCTAATTCTGATGTTTTTATGGTCATATTGGCAGACTGTGTATACAAACTTAATGCTGGTGCCAGATAAGGTATTTTTTCTAATTTATATCAATAATTTATATCAATTAAATAGCTGTTTAATGTATTATATAATATGGCAAGAATAATCTGTATATATTTTTTCTTTTTTATAAACGTTACAGTTTAGAATACCTGATGTCGAGATGGAAAAATTACAGCAGGCAGAAACGGAAGAAGCACAGAGACAAATTTTGGAAAGATTTGCACAAGATCTTCCGGTTACTAATCGCACCATAAAAGGAGGTAACAATTTTATTTTATACATATAAGAATTTCACATTATATTAATGGCATCATATATTTTCTTTAGCTATGCGATTCTGCGAGAAATGTCAGTTAATAAAGCCTGATAGGGCACACCATTGCAGTGTGTGTGGCACTTGTGTTCTAAAAATGGATCACCACTGTCCATGGGTGAACAATTGCGTAGGCTTTCATAATTACAAATTTTTCATGTTGTTTCTCGCATATGCACTTCTCTATTGTATGTTTATTACCGCCACATCTTTACAATACTTTATACAATTTTGGAAAGTGAGTACTGTTCTTTTCCTTTTGTAATAAATTCATATGAAAACGATATATTTAGATTACATGATGGAATGTTTACATCAATAATTTTATCTTGCAATTTGTGATGAAGTTTAATCTTTTTCTTATAGGGAGAGTTAGATGGAATGGGTAGATTTCATCTATTATTCCTTTTTTTTGTTGCGTTGATGTTTGCAGTCAGCCTTAATTCCCTTTTCTTCTACCATTGCTATCTTGTTGTGCATAATAGGTCAACACTAGGTAATTATTGGGTATTATGTCTTAATGCTATATAATATGTGAATCTTGTCTGAGATATTAATTAACAATATTTACAGAGGCCTTCAGAACACCCATGTTTCGAACAGGGAAAGACAAGGATGGATTTAGTCTGGGAAAATACAATAATTTTCAGGAAGTATTTGGTGATAATCCACGGCTCTGGTTTCTTCCCATATTTAGTAGGTATGTATGTTTAGTTTAATATTTTCTATGCGACGGAATTGCGTGATTTACAAAGTGGGAACCAGTTGCACAATACGTAATAATTGAATTATTGTATCAATTTGTATGCTTCTAGTATACTGCCTATGATAATCTTTACCATAAAAAAGCAACTATGCAGTTTATGGCATACTTAAACGAAATTTGAAATGCGGTAACATATAAGTACTGCAGGGCCTTGAGTAAAGTGTGAGCAATTTTAATTTTTTTAAAGTTTATTTTCCTTCAAAAGCAAAACGATTGCATGTTTTGTGTAATACCATTTTTTTTTTATTTTTCTCTATATAAATATATATTTTTGTCTAAATACATGTAGAATGCTCCAATTATGTGGCAATATTATCATTTCTATATATATGATATTATTTAAATTTAATCTTCCTTCAAATAAAATCAGCTTAGGAAGATTTACACATTGTTGAAATATAGAAGAATATATGTGTTAAAAACTACTTTAATACATCTTTTTGTGATTAACAGTTATAAGGAAGAAGTCTATGCGATTTATATTTTATACTTATGATCAAAGCAGGATGTGCACACACAAATAGATACTTACATAAGTTGAAATTTTGACTGTTCTTTATCTTATCCCGTGTGTGTATAAACTCTTTTTCCTGTTTTTTTTTTTCCGCAAACGCAGTTTTCTAGAAATGTGAAAGCTGTTGTTTTGGTGCACCATTGACTAGTATGCAACTATCGCACATTTCAAATTGTTTCAAATTTGAGCACTATATTTGCACCGATTACGGCCGATAAGAGATATAGTAGATTCAGTCACTTTAAATTTTCACTTTTATATTGGAGTGGTTGCATTGGATGTGTTCTAGTTTGGGAAATGGTGTCGTCTATCCAGTAAGATCGCAACACCAGGGCACACCCAATACTTATGACTCCATGGGCAGTACTCAGAACAGGTCAGCATCATGAAAACTTTAAATACAAATGCAATGATAATTATCTCGACTTATCTTTACTGTGGAACTCGTTTATCTCTGCTATAAAGATATGATTGACACATATACATAAATATTTTTAAATTTGTTGCTAAATCTTGAAGGAAAAATACTACCTATAAATTATTTTTGTGTGAATTATATTTTATTCAAAAAAAGCACTCTCACTCTCTTAGTGTTTATATTTTTATATTTTTGTTTATATGTTTAGTGTTTATATTTTATATTTATTTTTTTCTATGGAGTTCCAGAGTAATGACATGATTTATAAGCTTTCAGACTGCATGCAACGCATTTGTATATTGATATTTTTGTTTGACGCTGCCTATAATTTCTACAGCTATTTCCCCAATCTTTTCTTAATATATCTTAAGCTTTTCTATAATATCTGCAAAGTCTGTGGAATCTTTATTTATTCTGCTTCTGAGAAGATATTCTTTGCAAGTTACGTTTCGCAGAATTGACAGTTTATAGTTTGCATATTTTTGTAACAAAATATGATTTGATTTTACAAAACATGATTTTCATTGATTTTATGTTTTTATATTTTATATTTTTTACTGAAATATATTTTTAAAAAAATTAAGAAAGTAATGTAAGGGATATTACTGCAAAACAAACAAAAAAGTTGTAGTATTTTCTAAAAATATATCTCGGTTATACATATTTTATTTATATAAATATTTACTTATTACAGACCGTGTGTATTGAAAAGCTTAACCATGACGTCTTTTTAAATTATACATAGAAACAATTCAGAGATATATTGATTTTTTGTTTTAAAGTTGCATGTTTTATATGTCACATTATAAATTTCAATTCAAGACGAATTCGCATAAAACTTTTACAATTATTACGTGAGGTATTGTGCATCTGGTTCTTACAGACAGTAACTTGTAATACAAAAATGGTGTAACTATGTACAATAATTTTCTTTTTATGGAAGAAGTATCTTTCTCCTCTCTTTATCGAAATTAAGATTAAATTAAACAAATAAGCGAAAACAGATAAATGAAATCATAAAACAAATGAATCAAAATGATAACATGTAAAATAGTTACATCATAAGGGTAGTGGACATGGGATGACATCAAGTAGAAGGTAGGGTATGGCTTGCAGTTTTGGAGATGGGGTAAACTTTCCCGAGCGGCTGTGCAATGAGGATACACATACTCTGTTGGGCACCCACGGGACCCAACAATGGGGTGATGAAACCGAGTTTGATTCCCCACTTCCCTACGTAAATCAGGTACTTTACAGGCTCGATTCTTAGATCGAGTCAATAATCTTGCTCAAAACAGCTAGAGCATATCAAAATGACAATTTATATAGCAATCATTATAAGTTCCTTATACTTGTGCATAAATATTTCGTTATTTAATACATGTCTACATGTAGCTGTAAGATTAAAATGCAGTGTATCTTACAACTCATAATTTTAATTTTCATAGATTCTAACGAATTTGAAATCGGTTTTTTTTTTTTGAGCGGAAATATCGAGGTGTCGATAATTTCCGAACGATTACTTTCGCGAAGCTTACATTTTATTATCTCTATACAAATAGATAATAAAATTGTGTTTTCTAGTAGAAATTTTAATTTGTAGCTTAGTATGTAACCAAGAAACATACTGTGTGTTAAAAATTGAAAAATTATATATATTATAAACGAGATGATATTCCTCGATATTTTTCATTGTTGAGGAAAAGAATTGACTCCAAATTGATTAAAGAATTTTTCTCTTAGAATTAAGATCATGAGTTGTGGAATATTTTATTTATTCGGAGGACTTGGCACATGTTCTTGCGTTATAGTAAATAAATCGATGTATATTTAGAAAAAATTTTGCATTGTGATAAAATCGAATTCATATTACATCATACAATGAATGCATATTATTTTTAAATGCTATTTGTTTATTAATAGACAATGATATATAGATTCCAATACTGATTCCAAATACTATTATTTTCTTGTTGAAAGAAACGAACATTTGTATAGGATAAAGTAGGAAAAATATACTTTAAACATCTGTAAAAAAAGCCAGTTTTTTTTTCTATGAAAATAAGGTTCTATTTATCATCATTCTCTATCCAGAAAAAATGTTCCTATCCCATATTTTACAACGCACATATCAACAAATATTATGAAAAATACAATATTAAGAAATACAAAAAGTTTGTGTATAATTTACACAGTATTGTTTATAAAATCATATGATTATAGAAATACTATTAATATACACTGATTAAATACATTGATCAAATGTGTAACGTTTTCTGCGTTTGACACGCATTACACGAAATTTTATTATATTTAAGTATATACAGATCAGATTATATATAAAATATACATCATGCACTACGAAAAAAAATTACAGTAAGTTTCCACTTTTAATACTAATAAATACTAAACGTTATTCTTTTGCCGAGTGCTCCTGCTTCCACGACAAACTAATTCAACATTTACAAGCTATTTGTCTTGCTTTTATTTCCCCTTTTAATAATTTTGTATTTAAATTGCTAAGAAAGATAACTCATTTTTTAAATGATCTGTAATATTAACTCTCGTTACAAGACAATTTTCGTTTTGTCATTTTAGTATGTATTTAGAAATATATAAAAATAATAAGTAATATTTGCAATCGTATATTTTTTTTTGTTTAAAATAAATAGATTGATATATTTTCCTATATTTTTTTCGAAAGTGTAGTAAATGTTCCAAATTTTTTTATAAATGAAAAAAATGGCAACTGAATTTTATTTACAGCATATATATTATAATTACGTATGATATATATAGGTAAATATAACATAATATATCCCCTTTGATATAATTTACTGAATTTTTGATTGACCACAGGTCCACCATTGATCAAATGACTTTGGTACAGGAAGCTACAATTTTGGCTCTTGGCGCTGGGTAATATTATCCATAATCCCCTGATGATATATCACAGCTAATTTTATGCCTGCATGTATATGTATATACATATAAGGTTTTTGAAGATTCGGGCATTCTTTCTTTCTTTTCATCCTATAATCTTAAATCTCTATTTAATCTTAATATATACTTTATCTGGGTGTGAGGAATGCAATTTAACACTGCTTACATTTCTATAATGATGATATTTATGTAACAACATTTGGGAAAGCTATAGCTTTTGTTTTTGATTTTTTGTGCAATATGTGATTCGATGGCTTTTATTATATATTTTATTTCTATTGTAATACATAAGATCTCCATGTTCTACATTGCTATCATATTTCACAAAATCGTAGTAATTCTCTTAATATAATGTATTAAAATATTTTACAGCACTGCTGTGATAGGTCCTTCTGTTGATGTCGACCAACCACTGGTGAATACCACAGAATCTGTCTGAATAGCATCGTTTGTACCACAAATTGGCATGTATGTTTTCATGCAATTGCTAGTTTGCTTTATGATATCGAGTATAATTCGGAATATAATATTAATTTATTTTTGGTGTGCTTTTTTATATTTTCTAAAAAAATTTTTTAATTATTGGCATTGTGCGTTGATATTTTTTTGTTTTTGCAAATTGGAGATTCACACTGAAATGTTAGCCTAGTAAATGCAAGTATTTTTTAACATTATGGATTGTGTCTTTTGCACACCAAAAGATTTGAATATTAACTGTATTATATATATATTGTAATATATATTATATATGGATCGTTGTTAAAAATATTGTTACAATTACTTGTAATTTTAATTATAGTATATATCAAATAATTAGACTATCCTCTATAGTAATACATTAATATCTCTCATACTATACATTTATAATTGCTTGAGTGTGTAGATTACTTGTACCATAAACGATGAGACGAGTCACTGCAGTATAATCCAGAGGGTACTGCATTTGCAATGACTATCTTTGTCAAGATATAGACATATACGTATATGGGTGTGTTGAACAAAACAAGATTTACAAATAAAGATTCGTCCATACTTATGAAAAATAGGATGATTCCAATACTCTTTTCTTTTGTTAGAGTTTTATGTAAATTATGTTTGACTTATTAATAATTTTTGACATAAAATAATATAATTTTTAATTGTTTTTTAAAAAGGAATATATATATACAATGTAAAAAAATTATCAATAGAATACATATTATATTAACTGAAAAGATTTATCTGAATAAAATATGTGCTAATGATACAAAAAGTATCTTTAGATACATAGATATGAGCATAAAGTTTATTATAATCTTTTATTGTGTAGCAAGAATCATCCTATTAATTTTTACAGAATAAATACTTAATATTATTTTATTTTATTTCACATGATATAAAATCTATGATTATTATATACATATATACGTGTATATATATATATATATAAATGCCATCAGTTTTTGAAATTTATAAAATTGGTTGCAGTGTATAATATTGTTATACAGAATAATGGAAATGCCTGTACTTATATTTCTAAACACTTTTGATTATTTATGACTCACACATTAATTTGCAAAGAAAACAAAATACTATTTTTACAAAAATACTTAAAGAAAAAATAAATTATGCTATTAATACATGTGGTGTACTTTACTACATGCTATGAATTTCAGGTATAAAAGATTGTATATATACGTCTTATATTAGACTGCCATATTTTTGCTTATATGTGTTAAGATATTATTTATGTTTATACTTGTGCAAGGTATAAGAGCAATATATATGCATTGTCAATCTCACATGTACATAATAAATATCAAAAGCCAAAATAAACATATAAACATTAATTTACATATATATGAGCTATGCAATAATAATGTTTATTTAGATATATTAATTCTACATCTCTTATGTGGTTTATTGAAAATTATTCATTAATCACCGCTAACTATAGCAATCTGTTGATTGTTTTAAAATGTAGTTTATATGTTTACATAAAATTGGTATGTAGATGTTTATTTCATTATAATTCATATGTAATACACAGACGTAATATGAAAATATATTTCTCATTTAAAAGATTATAAATAAAAAAAATCATTTATACATTTATATATACATAACATATATATACATGAATATCTATTTACAGATTGTAACCATATTTCTTAATCCAATTTAATCCTTCTGTTGTTAATGATTTTGGCCGATATTCCAAACCAATATACCCAGTGTAGCCTGTTCTTTCCAATAAAGAAAAGACATATTTATAATCAATCTCTCCTGGAGTATCTGGCTCATGTCTATCAGGAACTTGAGCTATTTGAATGTGGCCTATAAGAATGATAATAATACTATACTTTATGAAAATAACAGTATAAATATATTAACATTATTTTTTGTTTATTACATCTAAAAATTAATATAATATTACAAAGAAACTAACCCACATAAGGCAAAAAATCCTGAATGCATTTTGTAATATTACCACAGCAATGTTGTAAATGGAAAATATCCATTTGTAGCTTAAAGTGTACACTGTTTATCTTCTTAACTAAATTTAAACCTGTAGTGACAAAAACAAAAGAATTACTCTATAAGTCTAGTATAAGAAAAAAAGTAATGATAATTACATAAACAGTGAATTTGGTCTCGCACCTTTCTGAAAATTATTCATGTAATAATTTGGAACACTGTAATTATTAATTGGTTCAATGAGAACGACAATGTCTTCCGATTTACATTTTTCAATGGCATATAACAGGTTTTTTTCATAAACTGTATCGTTAGCAGCAGTTGGCGATTCCACTTTTCCTGACATTACATGAATCCTAAGGAGAGAATCTTGAGAATAGAATTTGTTGTCATCATTATATAGCATAAATTATTTATCCACATAAGCATTAATTCTCAATTGTATTTGTACCTTTATAGCTTATTATATATAGTTTACACTCACATTTTACAATCCAAAGCCTTTGCATATTCTATCGTTTTCTCAACACTTTTCTTAAAGTTTTCTTCTTCACCTGGAATTGCAGCAAAGCCCAATTCTCCTTTCGTAACATCACCTGTGTGACAGTTCAAGAGTTAGAATTTAAAAAATTAATAATATTACTTTTATAATGTAGCGTGTGAATACTAAATACAATACATACCTGTGAATACATTCAAAAGTATTTGATCGACATCTGCTTTCTTTTTAGCTGCGACGATCTGTTGAATGGAAAAGTCAAATGGAAATCCACTTTCAACTGCTTTAAATCCTGCTTGTTTAGCCAGCTGATATCTGTCAATAATACTGGGGGCCTCCGTAAACATAAAAGATAGGTTACTAGCAAACTTTAAAGCCATGGCAGTAGTTGCTATACGAAACGTGACCTATTACAAAATGAACTTTCATTCAATTATATACCGTATTTACTGATGTATTATATAATAATTCTTATCTCTATGATAAGAAAAAAATCTATAGCAATTATCGCTTAGCTATTAGATAATTTCGAAGATTGCCACACATATATATATTCACATCTGCTGATCATAGAAAATAAATATACTTATGAGTCATAAAATAAATATATGTTTATTTCTCGGAAAATGTTCTTATTATCACATTTTTTATACACATATATACACACATATTTGCCAACAAAATACATAAAAGATCGATATGCGGAAACCAAGTATATAATACGACGTGCTGTATCACGCTTTTGATTTCACTTTCAAAAAAGATAGAGATTTCAAAAAATATATGTTTTATATATTTGATATGATTTTTATTATATTGAAGAATATTAAACGATGTATTACAAAGTCATTTAATCATCTCGTCCATCAGCTGTTTCTTTGAATAAATTACATATAATTACTAAAAGGAATGCAGAAGGGGAGGGGAGAAAAAGGAGAATGCGGATTGAACGAGATTATTCCCTGTTAATTATAGATTTATTCTTTACAATTTTTATTTTTGCATTTTTTCAATTTTTTTCTTCTTTTTCTCTACAGGTCTGAATGATATAAATAATATATGTGTCCAAATCAGTGATGCTGGCTTTGTCAACTTGTCCGCCTTACGTCGAAATTCAAGATCCTCTTTTCCATTATCGGTAGCTAATAATGTTACGTCATGTTATGAAATTAAGTTTTGTGTTTATTGCATATTAACGAAACCTTTTTCACGAAACATGTTTGTCATTATATGAAGTATGTTGTTGTAATGATGCAATTCCCTCGACGCATTTACTGCGTCGTCGGTCTGATGACAAAAAATAAAAGTTGTGAAACTTTTACATCATTGCGATAAACCACAAATCTAATTGGATTTAAATATTCATAAGACTATGTGCAGTTTTCATATAAAAATACAATGCATATACTTTATAGCATATATATTGTATATAAAATGTATACACCAAAAGTCATCTTTTGGTTTTTTTTTTGAACATACACAAATGATAGTGATATTTTGCTTGTATTTTATAAATTACTAAATGTGTTTCTTGTAAATATAGTTTCTTTATTTTCACAAATTTATTTATACATAAAATATTAAATAATATTTTCATATACAAAAAATAATATATATTTGTATATATATTAATTTTTTTAAATAGCATATAGACTTATATATATTCACATAAAAAATATCATATTTAAAAATTAGATCACATTATATTCTATTCTCATACAAATTCTTAATTATACACTGCTTGCTCCTGCTTTTGATAGTCTTTTCTACATATATACTTATGGTTTGATTGAGTCGATCAATGCGTACAATGTAGATGCAAAAAAATCGAAATCTTTCTTTTATATAATTTTAGTATTTAAGATATTATTACAATATACATTAAAATTTCTTTAATACATTTACAATGCGATTATATAGGAGTGTTCTCGCATCCCTGCCCCACAAATAATCAATATGGTTGAATTTTTCGTACGGTACCTTTTTAACTTCTATAACGTTTGGTAATCTATTTACCAATTTTTGAACATCCTGAAACAATAACGAAACGTGAAACTTTCACAAAAATTAAATTCTAATTTTAATTCACTCTCTCTAACTGCGCATTTTAATCCCAGAACTCTTCGAGAATGTACTTGTTCTATATTATTAAATATTTTGTAATGCAAAAGACTTAAAATAAACATTCTAAGATATTAGTTAATCAGTGAAGAAATTCAAATATTTCAAATATTTCTTTCCATTCCAGAAGAATTTACAATTTTTGAAATCAAAAAACGTATGCGTGTAACATACACAAAATAGAAACAAATAAAATGCAATCTTAATATATAATTTAATGGTAAGATTATATAGAACTTACAGAATAATGTGTGAGAAAGTCATTGTCACTATAAAAAATTGCCACAGGTACTTTGATCCTTTCAAGATTATATTTGGGTGGTTGAGTGGATCCATAAAGGTTTAGGTTCATTTTAACACCATGATCATATTTCTGAAAAGAGCCTAAAAAACAAACAATTTATAAATTATATACAGGATGTCTCAGCATAAATGTAATTGTTTCTTTTACTTCCTAAAGTAGATCGCCAAAAAATGTACGTATCAAAAAGGTGGTGCGTTTAGCGAAAACTCGTGAAAGATATTACGATATATCATTTTTACGCGTACTATGTTATCTTACTTACCGGACATTATTAATTGACCAAAATGAACGATTTGTTTTATCGCAGCGCCCGCTGGAAAGTGTCCAAATATCAGGGGTAACATGGATTTATCGAGCTGATCGCTACCGAATCCGGCGATCAGGTAAAACCAACAGTTGCAGATGCCCTTCGTCACCGCGCAAGGAGCGTTGCGTACAAGGGTGCTAACCATATGTGCTTGCCACCTGCTATTGCGGGGGAACCATTGGAGAAAGTTGAAAAAGTAGGAGCCCCACTGAAACACGCTTATAAGATGAGTAATAAGGACACAATCTCGCGGAAAAGAAGTTAGAAAATTACATTACCTCCAATAGACCGTTAAAATGTACGAGACACTTGAAGAGTGGACTTCTCTGATTCGATAAGAACGCTATAGGTGCCAAACTTATCATCCCTTTGATCTTAGAGTTATATTCAGGTCTCTCGCTCATCATAACGTAAAACGTGGTTGTACCCTGACTGTGACCGATATAATACAATTCGGAATGACCAGTCTTTTCTAAGATATAATCTATCGTTGCTGGTAAATCGTAATATCCGATCTCGTGCCAACTATAAGAGAAATGTATATTTTTCGTATAATAATTTTCTATATTTTCTATAATTTCTTATATTTAGATCGCTTAAAAAGTTGCTTAATTACCTAAAATCCCAAAACTCTTTGTCTTTAATCGAGTAATGTTTATGGTGTTTGGAGTAGGTATTTCCACGAGCGTTCGGAAGCCAAACGTCGAATCCATTGTCGCAAAGAACATAAGCTACGACATGAAAAGTTACATAAAAGAGATAATATTTATATCATTATACTAATAAATAATTTTCACGCCTAAGATTCTCCTTGTTGATCGTTAAATTTGTTGAAATCATGGAAAAATATTCTAGTGTGAGTGAGCAACTAAAATATAAATAATAAAAAAATGCAAGATAAAAAAAAAGAAAAAGAAAAAGAAAATAAAAATAAATAAAAAGATAAAAAAAGAATTAATAAGAAGTAATTACCAAGAGCCTTGTGAGGTCCCAGTAGCACCCAATCTGCAGAACTGGATATAAGTCCGTGGCTTACAATAACTGGTATTTTCGAATTTGCACCGGAATATTCAAGGGCTTCCGTCAGAACATGATGACAATCGGGGGATGTTGACAAATTAGAATCTTTGCTGCTGTTATCAATTACGGCCGTATCAGTATTTGTAATAGAGTCAGCTTTTATTGACACTTGATCCCTGGGTGAGAGTACACGATGCGCATTCAAACAGTAACCATCTTCTGTCCAAACGCGATGGATTTCGGGTATGTAACCGTGAATTTTGATCAGTTCAGGCTGCAATTGTATAAAATGATTATCGATGAATGATTTTATATTTCCATTAATTCATTAAATCATATAACTTTAATCGATCTAAAATTGTATAAATATAAATGACGAAATTTTATTCAACTCGATGCGCATATATAAATTATTTTTTTAGCTATTTTCAAATTATTTCTCGAACTTTATCCTCACGCTCACATAACAAAATTTTTTAATTTGAATGGTCAAATGCTTAACATATATTTGCAATGATAATTCGTGAAAATTATTTCTAAAATAACAGAATTATATATAAATATATTTTAAAAGTTTATATTTTCTAATATAGTTTTAATAAACTGGTATTTTCGAATTTGCACCGGAATATTCAAGGGCTTCCGTCAGAACATGATGACAATCGGGGGATGTTGACAAATTAGAATCTTTGCTGCTGTTATCAATTACGGCCGTATCAGTATTTGTAATAGAGTCAGCTTTTATTGACACTTGATCCCTGGGTGAGAGTACACGATGCGCATTCAAACAGTAACCATCTTCTGTCCAAACGCGATGGATTTCGGGTATGTAACCGTGAATTTTGATCAGTTCAGGCTGCAATTGTATAAAATGATTATCGATGAATGATTTTATATTTCCATTAATTCATTAAATCATATAACTTTAATCGATCTAAAATTGTATAAATATAAATGACGAAATTTTATTCAACTCGATGCGCATATATAAATTATTTTTTTAGCTATTTTCAAATTATTTCTCGAACTTTATCCTCACGCTCACATAACAAAATTTTTTAATTTGAATGGTCAAATGCTTAACATATATTTGCAATGATAATTCGTGAAAATTATTTCTAAAATAACAGAATTATATATAAATATATTTTAAAAGTTTATATTTTCTAATATAGTTTTAATAAAATATAAAATATAATTTTAATAAAATATTTTTTTTTAAATATATGAAAGCTATCACAAAAAATTTATTTTATAATTGATTTACATTAAAATTGAAATATTTGCAATAAATAATATTATTCATGCTACTTTATATGTATATATGCATATGAATAAAACATTATTTTTTATTTTGCTCCCAATTGTGATGTTTTATGGGTTGTAAAAGAAGCATACAGCATTTGCTAAACTTTAAAGATAGTTCCGTTTGGTTGGAGAAGTCGAGAGTTAAGACTCATAAAGATTAAATAACCGAACGCTATGAAGAATTAAATACGATTTACAAAACTAAAACACACTTGACATTGATTCGAGATTTGTGACATACAACTGTCGAGTATTTTACAGTGAAATTTAATTTAGTCCGCGATGTGTCTTAAAAAGTTTATTCAATTAGCTGATGAAATATCGCGCTAAACGTGACGTTTTCTATTCCGGAAACGAAATTTCATGTCGGCTCGAAAGCGAGGATCATACTTAAACGATTGCTCAAGGTTAAGCAAGTCTGTTATGAAACATTGCATGTAATTGTACGTACAATCTGTTATGAAACAACGTGTAATTGTATACATATTGTAAACTAGAGCGGCAAAAATTATCGCAAAATCGCGTTATTAAGTTTACAACAGAATGCTGTTAAAGCTCACTTTAAATGCTCTCTAATTCGCAACGGAGTTCTCGATAGAATTCTATTTTATATGCTATATATTTTGATGTATATATGTGGATCTGTTTGTTCTGATTCAAATTTATTATAAATATATATGTTGATTTTTGATATTTTTGATATTTGATTATTATAAATAAATTAATATTTGAAATAAAAAGTCTAAACGTTATAAATTATAAAAAGTTCAATCAATTTTAAACAAAATTAGAGTTGCGGAATATTAGTCAAGAAAGGATAACTAGTTACTGTTTCAAGTAATAAATTTAGTTTCACAATATTTTGAAAGCGATCAGTTAATTTATTAATTAAAAATTTTTGAGAACTCAGAAAGAAATAAAATAACTTAAAGATTTATTAAATCATATTTTGCGCTAAAAAAATTCTTTGCCATGAATATATACAATTATTGAGAAATTTATTTCTCATGATTCTTCAATCAATATCGTTAATTGCAATTTAGCCAATTGTACGCTTAACTTGCCGAACTCATGCAGACGTATAATATAGCTTTGACAATTGATGAGTTAACGTGTGACATGTCAGTCACTAATCTATCACTAATATTCTCGGAAATAATGTAAGTTTGATAGTGGCGCGTTTACTCCGATGTTAAGATCGAAGCATGATGCTGATAATGTTGATGTCAATGCGTATCTTACCGTTGTCATGTGGGCCTCATCCTGACTCGCTTCTTTGTCCATGCCACCGTCGCGATATCAGCACCACGACATAAAATTTGCGGGCCTCTCGCAGAACAATTTTTTTTTTTATGGAAACATGCGTAATCGTTTGTTCTTCCACCTTTCGTATTTTCTCTTCTCACTTTTTTTTTTCTTCGAGACGCAACTCACGTGCGATTTCCGAGAAAGCGATCCGCGAAATCGTGCGCCGCGGAAGGAACGGAGTCGTCTGCGCGTTTGAAAAAGAAACACGCAGTGAAAGGCGCGTCTTCCTCCACTCTGAAGAGTTCGTGCCGCAATTAGTGATGGATATTATCAACGTTGTGTCGGAACGAGAATCCTCATGCTGCGGAGAAGGCGTTGCTTTTTGATTATACTGATGCGCGCGCATACGTACGAATTCAACGAATTCTGGAGCTCTTGTTTTGTAGAAGGCACGTGAGGAAAAAAACGTGCGCCAACTGTCAGCATGAGTACAGAGTCTACAGAGTGAATGCAAATAATCTACACAGTATATATATATATACGCGCTGACAGGGCTGTACTCAAGATAAGGGGATGTGAAAGCGGGGACGAGAAGATTAGAGATTCTTCAGGGAAAAGATCTATAATGCATTGATGAGGCTAACTGAAAGTATATTATTTTAGTAACATTTTAATAGCTTCTCTTTAATTGTATATATATATATATATATATATATATATATATATATATCATACATACATACATACATTGACGCAATTTCACCGATTTAATTTATTTCCTTCACAACTTCCGATCCTGGGGTGACGAATATGTTCTACGCGCTATTCACAAAAGTGTATACCGGCCGTATGTCTATTGGACACGTCAGTCATCCATGACGAAGTTAACAAGCAATAAATTTTGTATTATCTGTCCCGCTAAACGTGAACAAAAAAAAACTATTATATGAAAAGAAATTATAAAAAAGAAGAAATTAATTATATATGAAAAATGCGTTGGTAAAAAAAGATAATAACCAAATAAATTCTTTTTTTAGATGACACATATAATTATTGTATTCATCAGAATATAAATTGGGGTAATATTGTACAGCACCAAAAGCAATAAATCACATATTCAAAAAAACTCACTTATTCATAAAAAGTTTAAAAAATATAAAATCACGAATTAAATTTTTTAAATTTATGTTATCACGATTTCAGGTTATGTCAGCAAGCTTTGTCACCAAAACACAAGCTTAATGCGGACACAGATGACACTGGATTTGTTACCAAGTTTTGAGCGAATTTGATGCCAATTTGGCAACAATTTGTTATCAAATTGCTTACTGGGTATGTATATTGTTTTTATAGTAAATAATGTTTAAGTTATTAGTATGAAAGATTCAAAAATTTTTCTCTTTCTATCTCTATTTTAGATTATATAAAATTACCTGAAGAGAATACAAATTTTAATTAGGCCACATATATAATAATAAAATGTAATACAAAAATGCGGATGTATGACAAAATGTACAATAATTCGTGATTATAATCTCGTTATTTAGGACCGAAACATACGTACATTTCTTATATGTTTACCTTTCAGAAATTGTTTCATAAACCTTCGAAATATTGTGACTTGAGCATTGTTAAGTAAGATTTTGATAAGATTATAAAAACCTGTTCGCTTGAGAATTGGAAAAATGATACAATCGCTTATCATAAAAAATCGTGCTCGTAACCGTGAAAATAATCTTCATTTATTGTATTTACGATTATTTATTAAACCATAAAGTATAAAAAAAAATAACCGAAAGAAATGTAATCTGTGCGAGAAAGATTCCCAACATGAGAGTTAAACATTAAAGTACACGTGTGTGAAATGCTATTGGTTAAAATATAGATACATTAGTTGAAAGAGATATAGTAACAACATAGCGTAGCCAATCGGATTCGCTATCTCGTCTTTTTCTATTTAGGAACAATTGCCTTGCCCGTCATTGCATCGTCTCTGCCAATAAAAGACTTGAATTCATAGTAAAATAGTGATTAATTGATCCAGAATAGATCAAAATCCGTTCACTTGAAAACGCTATAAATTACATAACATTATTACGTTACATTTTTACATTTTTCACACACTGTAGTTATTTTCTCAATTCTCCTACAGCGAATCGCCCGGTAATTTTTGACCCATTGTTTCGACGCGTTGGCGATCCGCGGTTTGGCGCGCATGCGCTTGCGTATACGCGACGCTCGAAGCCGGATCTCGCGCCACCTCCCCTCCTTCGCGGATACCGTTTGTCGCAATGATGTGTTGCCGTGGAATTTTTTCCCATGTGGGAGCCTTCGTGCGCATGCGTAAGCTGACGTCACAGCTAGACGTCAGCTATATCCACGGATGTATCTAGCTGCAACATTAAGGCCGGTATTCATAGTCAGTTCTTATTTCAAGACCGTCTTAAGTAATGTTTTAAGATGTTAATACGGCTCTGTGATTGGTTTAGGACATCTTAAGATTGTGCTTAAGATGGTCTTAAATATAAGAACTGACTATGAATACCGGCCTATGTGTATAAGGGCTATCGCACACAAATTAACATAGCTGCATATGCATAGCATAAGACCGTCTGGATCAATGAGCATCGAAATAAAATCGCCATATTGATTTATGTAGCATACTCATTGGTCCAGACGGTTTTATGCTATGCATATGCAGCTATGCCAATTTGTGTGTGAGGGCCTTAAGGGTGCAAATCCATGCAGCAGATTAGGCCGAATTCACACATTGGCAGAAAAGCAGAAAGCAGAAAAGCAGAAGCCAATCAGAACTCGTGTTAGAAAAGCAGAAGCCAATCAAAAATCGCGCTGAAAATATGCAGTACATTACGACACAAGACCACACTAAAGCCCGTATCAGACTACGCATTGAAAATTAAAGATTGAAGATTAAAATTTGACCAATCAGGATAAAAGAAACTAAAATTTCCTTGTCCTGATTGGTCAAATTTCAATCTTGAATCTTGAATCTCGTTCTTCAATGCGTAGTCTGATACGGGCATAAGGGTTCCCTTGCAGTTTTCTCGCGTTTTTTTAATAGTGAAATGATAATGCGTTGTAATCTCGTCTTCTTATTACCATTTATATATTCTATTTCCTTGATAGAAACTTTCTTTTCTTTTTGCAACTTCTTTTACATTTCTTTTCTCGCTGAGGGGGGTCTAAAGCCCGTATCAGACTACGCATTGAAAATTGAAGATTGAAGATTAAAGATTGGAATTTGACTAATCAAGAACAAAAGGAACTAAAATTTTTTTATCCTGATTGGTCAAATTTCAATCTTGAATCTTGAATCTTAATCTTCAATGCATAGTCTGATACGGGCTTTATATTTGATCAAATTATATACGTTAAGGTGCCTTTACATGGCAGCATTAAGCATTAATGCTGCCATGTAATGGCACCTTAATGCTGCCATGTAAAGGCACCTTTAAGGTACCTTTAGTGAGGATTCGTAGTATTTGCTTAATGCGCATGCGCGACTTTATTCCCACTACAGGCGCATCACTAGTTTGTCGTCAAGCGGGGCCGCCATGATTGTTTCGGCGGTGTGTGCGATTCTGCGGCCGAGGGGATTCAAAAACACTTCCATTTCCTGAGGCGCCGTACACGGGTCTACGTCCTGCGCGTATCACGCTGCGCGGCTGCAATGGCGGTGTAGAAATCTCGTAGGGTGCGGGTCTCGTTTTCTTCACGGTGCGAGTAAGTAGCCGGATCTCTCTCGCTGAATCTTTTCGCGTGCCATCTCGAGGTCAGCGACGGCGTCATCGGCGTCCTCGCGTACGCGATAATGCGGTGTCATCGCGACGCGCTCGCGATCAGTTCGTCTCGATCCCTACTCGCGCCCGTTCGTACTTTCGAGAATTTCGCTCTCTCTTCCATATTGAACGAATTCGTCAATTTCGCCCGCGCATCTCGCTCGCTCGTGCTGTAAAAGAATTCGCGACACATCGACGAAAATTTATCGCGCATGCGACGCGGTACGATAAGTATTGTACGATCGCGCGGAATCGGAGAGTATCAGGTTAGGACGGCGACGTAAAATCGAGGCGCGTGTTTGCAAAACTTATTTTCTCATCTCGACTCTTTCGCACGAGGCACGAGGTGCGATCGACAAAACTGCGGCTTGCAATTGCGATAGGTTAGGTTAATGTGATTCGATTGCAATTACGGTATTGGTAGTAGAAGCGATGCAAACTTCCGTTAGAATGCTAATCTCTTCCTTTCCCGCCTATAACGATAAGTTCTTAATATAACTTCCTTGTTCTGCTTTTATTAAATGTATCAATCATCGAAATTAATTAATGTGAGTCTGCGAAAAATAACATCATAAATTGCTCGTGTCGTTGCAATTACATCGTAATGTAATCGATTACGATTTAATATTATCGATATTAATATATTATTTTTAAAGTTATTTTTTTCTTTTACATTATGTCTAGCAAACAATGTTTTTATATAATATTGAAATAAATTTCTGGTAAATTATTTAAAAAATGTATCGCTCAAAATAAAGCTTTATTTGTGAGCGATCAAGATTTAATATTGTAATTTACTCTTATTACAGATTGTGCGCTTTGTGTTGCTATCTGAATGGACAATAAGGTGGATGTTTCGGAAGTTGAAGATATTTCAATGATTGGAACATCTGGAATTTTTCACCTGCCTGACGTCCCAGAGATATCGGAGGTATTAGAATCGACTGGCCTTAGCCCCTTAACTTCTTCCTTGGATCAAGCTCTTACGCTGCAAGAAGATAAAACTCTCTCATCTGAAGTTAACATGGGCATTGAAGATACATGGTATATGTTTGCCTTTATAATTTTAGAATAATTTGTGTCAATATTTGTGTCAAGAATCTAATTATTTTAAATGTCTTTACAGGACTGAAGCAAACAGTTCAACATCAGATTATGCAATTCCTCTTCCTCCGCCACCTGGATTAAATGATTTCTCGGATGTTGGTGCTGATCCAATTGATTCTGGGACTGGCATAGAACACGGTCCATTTCTGCCACCTGGCACACCAGCGCTTAACAATCTTTTTGCAGAGGCTGGAGATTCTCATGATGACTCGCCAATGGGTGAGTGTATGTAATGTAATGTTTGAGATATAAAAATCATACATAACATATATTTATTCTTTCTTTAATACATATATTTTCAGAAGTAGTCCTGCCTGCAGGTGTGTGTGGTCTTCGTAACTTGGGTAATACCTGTTTTATGGCAGCTGGGTTGCAATGTTTGACCGCGACTCCACCTGTCCTACGACATTTCTTGGATTTACAGCAGAGAGGAGAAAAACTGCCTCCGCCTGGATCATTAATGGCACACTTTAGTGTACTCCTTGGGAAAATGTGGTCTGGAAGATATAGTGTACTCAGACCGACAGAATTTAAGCAGACTTTAGGTGCTTACCATTCACAATTTAAGGATTATAGACAGGTAAGTGTGCAATTGTTTGCATATTCAATCGTTTATCAATTATTTTCCAGTATGAAATTGTGTTGTATGTATTTAACAGCATGATTGTCAAGAATTTCTGGCGCTTCTATTGGATTCCCTCCATGAGCAAATGAATACAGCAAAGTGTGCCAAGAACTGTCAAGTTCCGTTGTCTACAACCACTGCCAATTCTTTTAACTCTATAGAAAATTCAAACGGAAAGACCCTTTCCCCTGTCACTGCCACGGCTGATCCTAATTCAGAACTTTTGGAAATGTATGAATGCTTATCACCGGAATGTCCAAATAGTCCCAATGTAACTATGGCTGGCTCACCAAGAGGTAAGAGATTACATGATGTATGTAGAACTGTACTGCCCTTGAGAGATTGTATCTTGAATATCATTTTTTAATATTTTATAAGACTTTGATTCGTCGATGGGAGAGCTCGATAGTATCACGAATTCACCGAGAGATTCACCGTTACATGGAGAGGAGGACGAGGAAACGCTAGATTCAGATGAAATCATCGAGGGGAGATCGAGTACTTTTATTCACAATAAAGTGAACGAAGAAGGCACAAATGAAGCCACTCCGACGCGCTCTTTGAGATTAGACACATTGATCGAACTATCAAAAACGGTGCCGCAGTATGGTGGCTTATACGATATTCACAAAGAAGCTAAAACTAGTAACGCTAATTTCTTAGTAACGCAACAAGAGTGTAATAATGAGATCCATTACGACTCACAGAAATTTCCAAAGGACAATGTCCGCAGGATGCCGTTAGACAATTCTAATCTTGTGGAGAATCACGACTTTGATAATAAAAGTGTCAGTATCAAACGCATAAAAGAAGTGAACGTTCAGAAGGTCAACGGTAGTCTCGATCACGCGTCCAACAGTTCCGATATCGAATATGATAGCGGTCTGGAGAAGTGTAACGTGAAACGCATGAGATTAGACGATCAGGAGAAGAATCATAAGCATGACAGTCTCGGTAACGAGAATATTCAGTGTTCACGGATTCCACAAAATTATGGTACTGGTGCTATCGCTGCGCAAGAAGAGATCGAGGCAGATAAGCACTGGGTGAAGCATTTGCGATCCAATAAAAGTATCATCGTTGACACTTTCCAAGGCCAGTTTAAGAGCACGGTAAGAATATCGCAAATAATATCATTTGTTTATATGGGAGACTATGCGTTGGGGAGATACCGCAAATCATCGGTACTTGCTGTAAAAAGTCTCCTATATTAAATTGTAGTAAATTTTCCATCCTGCCTTAAAAAAGATAAAAGGCAGGCTTCATTTTACTACTACAATCACGATTATATATAGTATTACAGTTTTCTGCAAGTATATATATATATATTATTTTAATTAAAACATTTTTTTTTGTTTAGATTATTCCAAAAAGTGCCAAAATTAATGAATATATTTTTAGTGATTGATTCTTTGATTAATTTAGGATCAACTTGATCGAAAAATCTAATTAAAAAGATATTTGATGATTTTAAAATGCTCTATCTGCGATGTGCCGAATATTTACGTTTTGAATATATTTACAGGTCGTATGCTCGGTTTGTAACCACGTTTCTGTTACATATGAACCTTTTATGTATCTATCGGTACCCTTACCTCATGCGATGGAGAGACAATTGAATGTCACATATGTTCCTGCAAATGGTGATCAACCCATGAGATGCGTCGTTTCCTTAAACAAGCAATCGCGAATTGGGAAATTAAAAGAAGAATTATTAAAAACGCTCGGCAAGGAGAATATCTCGGTGACGAACATTGCACTTGCAGAGGTTCTAGAGAATCACATAGCGAAGATTCTGGTAGGTACGAAAAAATGTTTTTTTTACATTTTTAATATAAACTTATTTTAAAGCAGTTTTTGCTTTTGTAATAGTGATCATTTCTAGTCATATATTTATTTTGAAAATGTATATAATGAGAATTGTGTCATACTGTGAATTACAGCAATTGCGAATAAATTAGTTAAATATATACTAAATTTAGATTTACATTTAATTATATTTGATTTATATAAAGGTCTTCAGTAGCGTTGCTATTATCTTTTACAGGAATTTAACATTAACCACACTAAAAATATTGATTCTGAATAAGATTGATCCCTAAATAAAAATTTAGGATTTAATTATTGCTTCGAATTCTATGCGAGTCAAGACATAATGCACGTTGTTAGAAAATAATTCTGGAGAGTTAAGAAGGTGGTATATTCGAATAGGATCGATTATCGCCGATACCATTCTCCTAGAGAAACTCTATGGAAGAACATTCTCGTAGCGTGAAGATATAGTTACGGGGCTACATTCCGTCGCACAGATTCTTTTCTTTATTCTTTCTTTCTTTCTTTCTTTCGTCACTTCTCTTGCTCTGTTATAATTTTGCCAACGCTATCGGTCTTTTACCGTTGTTGCTTTCTTACTATATATTATTTTCCCCTTGCACCATAGGTATCGGGAATTACTTGCTTGCTGTAGCTTATCGTACTTAGGCGGGAACATCACTCACTGTTGGATTCTACATCAAGGTTTTAAATTTAAGGATGACAATACACTCTTGAGACACATCAATGATACGAATCGATCGATATACGCCTTTGAACTCACGGAACCTCCCGATGCGTATACTTCAGTGTCTGATGGCGGCGGGGATCGTCCAATGGAGATGGATTCTTCCCAGAAATGTACGATAACGGGCGAGGAGGTACCATGCATGATCTGTCTTGAGGAATTAGATGGCGATTTGAAGAGGCACAGTGGGAATAGCTGTAACTTTATTATTTGCGACCCTTGCATTGAGGTAAGTCTATTATCTTATATTCAAAGTAAAATAAAGTCAAAATATATCTAACTAAATGATGAGATCACTTATATTAATATATTTGTTTACTGCCATTTGTGGATTGTTATAACTCTTTTTTTCGTTCAATTAAAATACAATAATTAGCGTTGAATATATCTGCTATATCTTTGCTTTTTATCATGATCGATTGCAATTGTAATCACCCCAATGATGAAAAAACTGGCAGTTTCAATCTAATGGAGGGGATGTACAAACGAGGCATACGTTGCCATACTTCATCCCGGGAAGGTCTGAGATAAGATCGTTAAACGTTCTAGACGGACGGTATCGCAATGATACGTATGAGAACCAGAAATAGCTTTACGTTTTCCAAAATGTCAGGGACGCTTTTTTAACAGCAGAGGCGACTGGAAACGAAAAGTTGGAATCTCATACGATCCGCTTTTTTAGTATAATCCAAAAGCCCGGTATAATTCATACCTGGAACTCAATTCAGACTAATCTGATGCTGCCACTTATCTGAGGGGTTTTATTTCATGTTGTTATTTATTAGATGTCTCATGGGGATTTTAGCAAAAATAAAAGTTTACAATTTCACCGAATTGAAACCGGTTTTTAAGCAAAACTTGCATTACTTAATTACAGAATTACTTCAAGAATCAAACAGAGCCACAAACGTGTCCGATGTGTTCCACATATGTGACGGCTTCATCATTTACGAAGATAGATCAAACGGGCCGGCCAAGACCTATCGTACGTATTCTGAACGTACCTTTGGTGTTAAGGCACGACACGACGAACGAGACGACGAACAATCGCAAAGGCACGAAGCTCTTCGGTTATCCGCACTTGATACGACTCCCATCGAGAGTGAACGCGCGGGATCTATACGATATCGTCAAAAGAAATGTGCCGCACGAAGGACGCTACACAATTCATTTCGTTGATGGACAGGTGAGATATCTTCATTTCGTGTAAAATATACAAGATATGTACTTAATTTTTCTTTATGGCAAAGTACAAATTAAAAAAAAAATTATTTGCTTATTAATATGATGATTGATCGGTTATATAATTAGAATGCATAATTAGATACATTATTTGGAATATGAAGAATATAGCAGTTAAATAATTAGATAGTATGACATGGTTGTTGATATTCAAGTGTTCTTCAATATGAGAATCGATAGTATAAGTCTAAATTATTAAATATATTGCCATATCTCGAATTATAAGAAAGACAAACATTTGTTGCAGGGTCATCATTGTTCACGATGTATGTATACCGCGCATTGTACAGGATGTAGCGTACCTGAAACGGGGATGGTCGCACTGCAAAATGGTGATACGCTTGCGGTTCGTTATACCGAGTATGTTCCTAAGATCCTGCATCCTATTGATCACGTTAGCGTCAGTAAACAACGACCGCATCATCCGCTATCTCTTTACGATTGCCTTCAAGCGTTTAGTCAGAGGTAATTTGTTTCTATGAGTTATTACTTTTATAACTATGCTAATTTAGGCTTTTCTTGAGTGAGCAAGATAAATATTATGGTAATGATATCTTGCATACATTACTGTTAATTGAACTGTTACAAAATATTTTATTTAATACTTTGACTGTCTGTTTTTTAGAGATGCAATAGTGTAAATTATCATACTTAGTGAAAAATGCAAGTATAAATAAATGAAAATTTTTTGTTAACATATTTTCGATATGGAGAAACGCGAAAAGTCGTCATTACTATAGCATCTAATCAATGTTTCGATTTTTTGCCACTATTAGTAAATTCACTGAGTGCTGCAAACTGCTTAACACTTCTCTCATATCGAAAAAGTTAACGATAATATTAAAAAGTTCTAAAAGTTAACAACATTATTAAAATTCTTCAGAAAATGAGTCTTAGAAGCAGAATACAAAATAAAAAGCAGAAAAGTTCTATAAACAAATAGAATTAATCCATATCTTGCAATGAAAGTGTTAAATTCAATAATTACAAAATACGCAATATTAAAAACAATTTTAAATATTAGAATATATGATCGGTATGTGTGTTGTATTTTGTCGTGTTTAATATATCATATTTTTGATGATTTTAGCGAAACTTTAGATGAACATAACCCTTGGTTCTGTCCAAAATGTGGATGTAACCAATGTGCCACAAAAACGCTTACGGTACATCGATATCCCAAGTTCCTTATTGTATATCTTAAACGGTATGTATAAGACTCATCATGTATTTACGCAAATGCTCTATATATACATAGGTAGATTAAAAATATCTACTATTATAGATAGTTTAAGCATTGTTTTTAATTGATTGTAGATTCGTGTTTTATGAATGCGCGAGCATGAAGCTGGACGACAAGGTTACATTCCCTTTGGTGGGTCTAAGCGTGGGACGCCACCTTTATGATCTCTATGCCTGCGTGTGCCACTTTGGAGGTGTGTAAGATCTCAAATTATGTCTAAAAATGGTAGTGATTTTCAATTGAATTAGTGGCTTTCAATTTAATTTAATGGTTTTGGAATTTAATTTAGTGGTTTTTAATTGAATTAATGGTTTTCAATATAATCTAGAAAGAATTTTATTCTGCATAAATGTCAGAATTGTGTGTGTGGGAGGATTTTATCTAAAAATATTTTTAAGTAATTTTCTTTGTAAAATAAAGATTTAATTTATATATGCATTTAAATGTACGAAGTTTACGAACATTCAAACAATATGATCGAAATTTCAGGCGTTTCCGCGGGCCATTATACGGCGTATGCGAAGAATCCTCGCACGGATGTGTGGTATTATTACAATGATGAGATTACGAGCAAACAAAAGCCTCAAGATGAAGACTTCAGCAACGCATATATACTGTTTTATAGTCGACAAGGGACCAACTTGAAACCGTGCAATATATAACAAGTGGTGTATTTAACTTGATAGCCGATAGAACACGTCGATCAAATGGAGGAGGGACAATCGGGGATAGTGGCAAAGAAAAGGATGAAGTGTAACGGAAGGGGAAATTAATATTTTGTGTTCTTCCATGTGTTTTTCATCACGAACGTTTACTCGTGTATTTCTCATACGTTTGCAATTTTTCCCTTTATATATTTTGCGCTTCTATTTTCCCTGTGTATCTCCCTCTCTTCTGCCTTTGCTAAAGTTGTATTTAGCGCAACGGACCGCGTCTCTGATACGCTGCGTGTTAATTTGCGCTGGATTATATAAAATATCGATAGCCGTTGCCTGTGAGTTTCTTTCGTGATGATTATGCAATTATTGTGTAATGAGGAGAGAATGTGTCTGTCGATGACATTCTGCACTAGTGCAGCTTAGGCCTGACCTGTTTTATGAATTCAAAGAGAGAACTGAACATATTTGTATTGCATATATTGTAAACGTATGTCGAATTTGTACAGTAGACGGTTAAATGTAGAACTCAAGAATTCTAAACACGTAATTTATTAGTGAATAAAGGTGAACGTCATACACTTGAAATCAGACTTAAATTACGGCTCGCAACGGCGGAATGTTACGCCTCGCCTTGCTCCCTCCTTTTATTCGAACCGGAGAAACGAGAGGATTTTGCTCATGAATAGCAAAGTGTTGCGTTTATCTGATATTCCTTCGTTATCGTTAAGTGAGAAAACATGGAGGGTTATAAAGCGAGATAAAATATTAAACACATTTTATGAAACGCAATTACGTTTATGGATTATTTATTAAATTAGTTATATATTGCAATTTTATTACAAGATACACTTTAATCGCAGTTCAATATGCGCTCGTATCAGCGCAGCATCGATATAATACTGATGTTTCACGCGCGGATTGCTATATAAATTGTTTTAATAACTATGTTGTAACGTTATTATATATATGTATGTGTGTATGCGCAACCAGAAATGGTTTTCAAAGTTTTATTCATTGTAAAACCAACTTGCGGGAGGGGAGGTTTTCGACGTCTTTTTTTTTCTTTTTTTCTTTTTTTCTTTTTTTCTTTTTTTCTTTTTTTTCTTTTTTTTCTGGTATAAAAGAACTCTATTACCATCGTCTTACAGCAATTTTTTCGAATCATAAGACGCGAATCTAGCAGACCTGGCCTTCTAAACTCTATAACGAATTTTCTTGGATGTATTAATGGCACCCTAAGGTAATCACACATTTTTATCGAAATACATATAGTAACATCCATAATTTCTTTATTCTATGCAAAGTAATGTACAGCAGACGACAGTTAAATGCACTTGCAACAAAAGAACTACAACTAGCGTTCTAGTATGATGTCTAATCTAAACAATAATAAAGATATAAATTTGTCGCTTTGTATATATATGCGTGCAGAAATATAGCGATTAGCAATTTAAACAAAATTGATATAGTAAGTAAATATAGTCAGATATAAATTATATGCGCGTATCTAGAAAACAATTTTTTAATAGTATGTATTTTTCTTAATCGGCCATTCTTACGAGTGCATCTGCTCTACTCAATACGCGCACTTTGCTGTACATTTAATAATAACTTGTTTATTCTTTTATATTTATGTTATGTTTACGTTATATATAGCGTTTCGTTATGTTTCTCGTTTTTCTATTATAGCCATCTCTGTCCTTTGTTTCCCTATCACTCGCTATTCTCACGCACTCAACTTTATGACACGCGTAATGTTTTCATCTTCTCTAGATAAATATTTTCAGAATGAATGTATCGTATTTAGATAAAAAATTGAAATAATTCCAAGTTTTGATACTACAGATATGCAAGAGAATACAATACACTCTACGTCAATCGTCGCTTTTTAATCGTTACGAATAAATATAGAGATAATTTTTTTAAACATTGCAAAAATCAAAGTCCAAAATTCTTGCCGGAAATATATCGATTTCTGATTGAGTTTATTCGTGTGCATTAGAATTGCTTGCAAATCAAGGAAACAGCAATTATGTTTGTAACGTAATACGTATTTAATAGTTTGACACTTGATATTTGATATGTATTGATAACAATATGCATATTTTATTTTCATTAATTATCGCATATTCTAAAAATGTGGATTGTCTTCCAAATGATTATGAAGATAATTCATTTCATTTGAATAATAATGCATAAAAAACAATTTTCATTAATTTATTTATTAGGATTACTTTATATAATCGCGTATGTTGCGTGATAAGAATTGTTCTGCAAATTTCTGAATTTTTCTATTCTTTTAAATTAACGATTAATTTAAAAACTTTACAATCTTTTTTCAATGTTTTATATCCACTCTTTCAATTTTTTACTTGGATTAATATTTTATCCATACATAAAATTAAATAATTTAATACGTTAATGTGTGACAATTACATACATGTTACACTACATTTATTCGAGTACACATTTATCACTTGTTTATTAATTAAAAAAATGTGTGTGAGAATAGACAAAAATTATAATATATAAATTAATTCGCGATATAAATTAAAAATTTGATTATAAATATAATATATAAATTTTAATCATAATCTAATATATCTTTTATCTCGTTACATTTTGTTTTGAAATAATGTTGCTGTTTTCTTTTCAAATATGATATAGTCATAATACGGAAATGTCTGTGCGATACGTCCATTATGAAAATTAATACTTAGGGAAGATGAAGGCACTCTTGAACCGCCATTGATCTCTACGTATATTTTTTAATTTCATCTAAAGCTTCTTGATACTGGCTTTGGTACCCGCTCGATCCCTATGTTCAATTTATATACGTATGTCTCGTATTGTCGTTGTCGCGTAGCTACGTTCGTTAACGCAGTGAAACGGTAAACCAAACAATCGCGCCGGGATGTATAAGGCCACCAATCTCGCAATTCACCGTGCGGGTCTCTCCGTTGAGAACAAAGAGCGCCTGGTTGGACGGGCTTACCATATATCGACCAAATATACCGCTTTGTATTATAGGTCTATTCGGATTACCCCATTTGGTGAGGTGTGGTGGTGTTGCTTTTCCCACACCTGTTATCATTTCCACTTTGCCTGTAAAGTCATACGCGCGTGTTAGTTTCTATTTAATCAGTTTATAAAGGAGTAATCGGGTGAATAGTCTCTTGCATTGTCTAGAAAAAATTGAGAAACGAAATTTCATTTTTGAACGAAATTACATCTCACCGGTAGTCAAGTCTAGAAAGAGAATATCTTCTTTGTCTATCGATGAGGCATATATATCGTAACTATGGGTCGTCTGCGACGGATAGAAAGCGATATCGCTGATATTTAAAGTCGTTTTAACGTCGAATGCGAATTTTAGTCCATTTGCTGAAAAAATATAGATAATATACAAATTTTTTTTCCGTAATATATATTAATAATTATCAAATTTTCGCAAGATTTTGCTTTCTCATCTCTATTTTTTATCTGAATAAGAAAATATGTAAAATATATTACGCAATATCTCCTGCACTACAAGAGTGACACCGGTATCCTGCTTGTCGAGAGTGACCAGATATCTGGAATCAGGAGAGATTGCCGGTTTCCCCAGGATGTTCGGCTTGTGGGCGAGAACGCTATCAGTAAGATAGTCCAACAGCACTTGACCAGTCGGACGACCGGTGATCGGTTCTTCGCATCCCAATATCACGAAGCCGTCTAGAACGAGACGAACCGATAAATTCAAGCCCGAGAATCAGATAAGCGGAATCCGAAAAAAAATCAAAGTAAAATGAAAAATGTTATATTGCGTACAGAGATCAGAAAATTCCACGCTTGTTGGCACGCAGTTATAACTGGCCAAGTTGACAGTACGAGTGTATCTCATGTTGGCCAGGTCGAGCTTATACATGCCATGCTGACTCGTGTGGGTCACGTAACCGTACTTGAATGTATGTTTCGTGTCCTACGGAATAATAGTTTATAATATAAAAAATAACAACTATATTATATATCTCAATTTTGTATATATGATACACGTGTAATCAAAATTAATCAAACAAGTTATTGATGAGAGGAAGATTCATTTGATGATTTTAAATCTGTATTATCTATATAATATAATATTGAAAGATGAAGATTTTTGTGAGAGTAAAAACGTACTCGCTGCTGTGGAATATATAGGCCCTTGACGAGATCGAATTGCGCATCGATAGGCTCCGGTCGTACGGTATGGTGTTTCTTTCGTTGGGCAGCTTCCTTGATTATCTGTACGGTCTTGACGCCAACGTTCATCTCGCTCCTCCAGTTCAATATCCAGACGTAATCGAGATTTTGTACGTACCACAGATCCACGGGATTTTTGTCCGTAGCCACTACCTGTGTGATCACGTCGAAATTATTCCATAACGTCTGCGACGACATAATTGATAATGAAAGAGGAATATTACGTACATCGATTATCATCATCTGCACCTCGCTAATTACAAGCACGCGATTCTTCTCCGGCTGGCTAACGTATACGTATCTATCAGCGACGTTTATGGCACGTCCCCAGGAACAAGGGACATTTTTCGGTCCGCAGACGTATTCCTGTAAAAGGAGAAGGATACGTGAAAGATTGAGTAAAGAAAAAATGGTAAAAAACAAGGATGAATATATGATTTTGCACCTGAGTGCCGGGTATGATGTCTGTGGATCGAATCTCGTGCAATGCGTGACACGTAGACGGCTCGTATACCAAGATACCCCACTCGTGAAAGGAGAAGAATCTGCGCTCCTCTTCTGTCGCAACTGTAATTAAAAAAATTTCACATCTATTAAAGATGAAATAGATCAGAATTATAATCGATAATATTACATTATTTTAATGATGATGATTAATTATTGGTGAATTAATGTCACGAGTCATTTTTCACTCACTTGGTGTAGGTTGTTCCTGAATCACTAGACTGCTAATGTCCCTCGTAACTCCCCCGGCACTTGTCGCTTCGCACATGTAGGCACCGGTGTCGGCGTAATCGACTTTTCTGACTAGCAACTTGGTGCCATTGCCAATCACCTCGTACTTGTCCGGCCGATCCTCGCTCAGGGGTTTGTCATTCTTCAGCCATCTTACTCGTGGAAGAGGCTCACCTACTACGTGACACCTCATCTTTGCCGCTCCTTTCGGCCGCTTGGATTGAAACTGCGGTGTCACCCTGACCTCGGGTACAGCTGAGATAGGGAAAG